AACTACAAATCCGACATCGATTTCCGAGCAACTCAATACTTTCCTGCTTTGATGATCGGCCAAATTCAAAAAGTTGTAGTGATGATGATATAGGTGAATTAAGAACTTACCATGACTTTCTTTTAGTGCAAATAGGACTTATGAAAATGCTTAAATGCTTCATCTGGCTGCACGTGGTGGTTTAAAAGTCACATTTAAGTGCATATCAAATACAATCTAGATATCACCACTTTTATTATGCTAAAAAAACCAGAGCCTTCTTAATGGTGATCTCTATTCTAAATGCCTTTGAGGGATTCCTCGCTTTAGAAACCACGGAAATCCGTTCTATGAAATAAAAAATAAACTTGTACGTTGTTGGTAGAGACGTTTAGTACTCATTTTGATTGGCAAAATTTTTTTTTGGGCCTAGATAACCGCGACTACTACTGCACTAACCTAGTAATAAAACTAATCGAGTTTTGAAAAATCTGATACAACGCAACTAGTACATCCTTCCACAAATAAGCCGTGATACGGCATTTTCGAGAACTACAGCACTTGACAAGTTGAAAACTTGGCATATTTATGGAATCGACACATCCTTATCATTCTCAAAGTGAATACGGCATTTTGAATGTATCTTTCTAAGTTTGTCTAACATCGAAAGCAACAAAAATTGTTGGTGGAATGAGAAATTTTCAAATTTTTGCGACGCAAAAGAGACAACCGTCTTCACGGACCACACCATTCGGAGATACCATCGCGTCATACCGGTCGAAATCCCGCTTTCTCAATAGCTTCGCTGACGGAGATACGAGTCTTGACGAAGAAGTGAGAAGAAACGAGTTCTGACTTCAATGAATCACAATTTCTTCGTGACAGAATGAGAAAAGTTCTACGTTGTTTCAAAGAAGTGCAAATTGCAACGAATTTATTGCAATTCATAAAGTCCACTTTATGCTGAAACGCTTGCATAAAGCCGTGAAATAAATGATTTTCAGATATGTAAGCATTGAAATTAATGAATATCATTGTCAATAGGTAAGTCTAATTACTGTGTGAGTACCTTCCTTTTTAAAACTTCTCACAAAGCAGTATAATCGAGAAAATGTTACATACGTGGATGAAGTAGTAAACCATTTCTCAGAAACTTGTGCGGTTCTGTTATGAAATAGTAATCACCTACAGAGAGTCGAGCGAATATAAAAAGTCATAACCACCCATGTTGCAGGCTAGGTGCATGCAGTGCACACCACCTCCATTTGAGAGACATGGAGCACCAAACTTGTTGCAAAAGGTCATTATTTTTACTTCTTTTTATGAAAGAGCTATCTGAGCTCCACCGTAGAGATTGAATATACTAAGGCATAGCCTTCATGGATATCTAAAAGTATATGTGGCATTTAGTCATAAGAAGCATTGAACTTCAGTCTTCAAGCGCTTGGAGGTGTGGGCATTCAGCACAAGATCCACATTGACGCAAGAATACCCACAAACTTATGCATGCACATGTGTATATATTTGTATATATTTCCTTGTTTATACAACCAAACTTCATCCATTTAGCAGATGCCAAGATTTCCTTATTTCAGTTCGTTTCTTTGCAACCATCACCCACAAAGTGCTTCGGATTTGCGCTTATATTCGGCTACCAAATGAGGATTTTATTTTCCTCATGAACGTTGTTGAATGCTCGACAACTTAACCCACCCTGGAATTTAAACACAGCTCTGCTAAAACACTTCCATACGTTCATCACAGGCGTTTACCAAAGTATATGGAAGGGAGGGATCGTTTACCAAAGAAGTCTGGTACAAATTTGTTGACAACGAAAGGATGGGACGACTAATTGGCTTAGGAGTTGAAAGAGCAACCAATCGCATAATGCACTGCATCTCTAAGCATTGCACTTTCCGTGCTCTAGGTATAAGTTAATTAGATTAGAAATTTTAACACAAGGGAACGATAAAGAAAGAATAAAGCCCTCGGTGTTGATCAATCCATGAGGAAATCTAGTCCATATGTGAATTCCGGTGGGTTCACGATGCAACAAGTAAGTGCTTAGTTTCCTCGCTGACAAGTCTGGTAACAACCCTCCGACTCTGGAAGGATGCCTTCCTGGGAATGATGCTTAGTGAACTCAGGGTGCGATATCGAATCAATGACCACGTTTGAGTACTGTGAGGTACCCCTAACCACTGCGCTACTCGAACCCATGTTACAGAAATCATGCAAGGATAAATTACTGCTTGAAGATTTGTAGCAAAACAATGAAATACTATGTTATGCTCAACCATCCGTACATTGATCGTTTTTTTTGAGCACAAAACGGTTAAGTGTTCTATCAAAACATAACTGTAAAGAAACATTAACATATTGCATTAAAACATTTATATCTATATTTACAATGCTTTAAAACTGAATAAAAGCTGAGGAGTCTGAGAATAAGAAGTCATATACGATGATTTGTTAGAAATTTGGTCATACCCATCGTATCCCTCAAACTAACTTTCTTAACCCAAACACAAATCGAAATACGGTTCTGAATGCATAAGTAAAAAAGAATGCAACAGCTTTTTTTCCTTATAACGGATCATAACCAGCTAACTTTGCACCCTCAAGAAACTCTTCCAATACATCCATATTTTTAGAATTTCTTTCGTTGTTTCCAAGCCGCCCATTTGCTTGATCGCTGACAGTGATATTCCTAGTTTTCTTCTTACCGGCTAACTTGTCACCACTTGGTTTCTTTTTTTTCCTCTTTTCCTCATTCTAAATGGCATTCTATTATGAAAGACAACTTTATGGCCGAAGACCGAACGGAATACCACTCACGAGGCGTGACGGGACGATTTCCGAAGCTCTGATTGAAGCGCGGGCCATATCAATGGAATGAGAGCAGGACTGAGATGGCAGTGGTTTCATTCCTATTTCCTCTTCAGAAGATTGTCCATCTGGCAATGCATACTTCTAAAAGTAACTCTCTGTTCCTTAATTTCGCTCGAGGAACATGAAAAATAAACAAATAAACAATTAGTTTAAAAAAACGACGACATACCAAGGCAAAATGATTCCCAACGACGTCATCACAAGTATCATATTCCATCACATAAAGGATAAAGGATAAAGCTCTCAGCGTTGATCAATCCTTGAGGGATGCGCCATGCATTCGACTTCACTAAGTATCGTTGGAGGTGATTGAATGCAAATCTGGCCATTACAATGACTTGCGGTGCTCTACCAACGTATCGCGCCAATGCTGCTATCCTCTCAGACAAGTCTGGTACCAATTCGCCGATCCCGTGGGGATGGAAGGCTTGGTGGGTCATGGGCGCGGGGATCGATTCCACATGTGTGTCGCAGTGGCGCCTCCAACCATAGCGCCACACACGCCCTTTTCGTCACATAGCAGAATTAAATTTTACTGGCTAACTAACATTTTTGAAAAAGAAGTCTGCCAACGCTGCTTAGGCTAAGGAGTAAATTATGTAGCCATCAACTAAGAAACTGCGTGCATTATGTCATGGCTAGCACTTGGGAGATAAACAGAACGCAAGACTGACTAATTGACTCAAACAGCAATTTGATCAACCAATAAGTTTCGCATTGAACGGTGACAAAAACCCTAGAAGGATAATCAGCTGAGCAACAGGGATCAAACCTTCTGTTCAGTTGATGATAAAGCGTCATCATCACCAAGCCAAGCATTAAACTCTGATGTCGACGTACAAGCTGACGTTGCTACAACCGAACTGACGTCACGGTCCAATTGCTGGAATGTATATCCAGTGTAATGAAATGAAACCCGCAACATGCGATTAACACATTCGTAACGAAGCTGGTTTTTTGAGAACTACTCATTTATAGAAGAGACCTTGATCAATCGCACTAAAGATACACAATAAAGTATACCCCAATCATTAGGATATTAGAAAAATATTAATGATCAAAGTTAAAGTTGTTCAGAAACAAGATTCTCACAAACGTGTCATCCGTAAATACTTATGAGACTTTGTAGAACACCACCGTCTCGTCCTGGGAGACATCCCGCTTAATCAGCTGCATTCGGGTTCAAAATACAATCCTTGAAGTAAGGAAGTAAAAAACCTCTAGAGACTCCATAAAATCAGGATTTCATCGTCGTAGAACAAGACCTGGTATGTATTGAGCAAAAATCTGTACAATTTTTAACTTATTATTTACTGCCTACTCTTTTTAATGGCAGAGTATACGTTGTGAAATATAACTTCAATGATGCTGAGATATTTGCAAAACTCCGGACCGCAGGTGTATGCGGTGGGGAACGAACATGCTATTGTACTTTCCGGAGAGGAGAAGTAAGGGAGGCACCCAGATCAAACCCGTTGACGGGTGACTGCTGATGGAAAAAGATCGATAGAACTAGTTGAGAGACAGGCGAAACGAAGGACCCGCGTGGTGTGGTGGTGAACGCGTTACTCCCCGGAAAGGACAATAGCGTGTTCGTTCCTCACCGCATACACCTGCGGTCCGGAGTTTTGCAAATATCTCAGCATCATTGAAATCTGTACAAAGTTCAGAAGGCGAAATATGTTGGTTAAAAGTTGGAAGGCACTACTACTTCCGCACTGCACAACTCAATCTGATGCTATTTGGTTACGAATGTGTTGAAAAATCATTACAAAGTTTCTCAATCAAATGTAAGATTTCCGACTCAGCACTGACAGTAGAGATATTCAGTTCGTCAGACTGCTCCTTCTCTGGACTACAACACTGATCATCCGATGAGTTGATGCTGCAGTCGCCCATTTGCACTTTGTACGCTACAATAGTTTGTTGTCAACTACCACAGCAATTATTTTATAACAATATAATTAACATAACTAAATAGGTAAGAAAGTGGGAAGAATGGGCATTTCAATGGAAAGAAATCTTTAAGTAAAAATTCAACGGAATAATTAGCCTCCTTCAAGCCATACGATCAAGATAAGAGAAAACCGGCTATTTTTATCAAATCTAATAGAGAGTTCATGGTAATATTAACGTGAAGCTGAAAAGAAAAACGAACCAAAAGGAGTGTTTGGGAGCAACCTTAAGTACGATAAGTCTTTTGAGCTGGTCTCCGTTGCCAGCCGCGACATTTTCTCCTTAAGTTCGTCATCAGCTTCAAAATCCTCTTCTACCATCCTTACCATTCCATTTGAATATTCACTAAAACAACTACGCTAATAACGATTGATTTAAAAAAAAACAGCACTACGCTACCAATTATAAAACGGGATGAGTGAAGATCGCAGTGAAGTATATGAACATGTGATTAAAAACTGCATTTATTTACTCATCACTTCCATTACATATTGGTGCGATGGAAAGGGTATTTGGAGGTTCTCGTTGCGGAACAGTACTTCGTTTCATAGGTGACACGGTCGGCACAGCTGAATTCGAGAAGTAGTGCATAACATGGGCTAAAACATGAGACGAGTAGCAAATTCATTCAAAGAAAAAAAACATTACAAAAACCTACAACTCGATAACTCGGAGTTTGGAGAAGAACTTTGTCGATGATGACACGTAGGTGATGGAGGACTATGCGGCAACGATTCTGTCCTGAACGAACAAATTTGATGCTTTCTTATTCAGAACATATGCACTATACTTTTTCGAAGCACACAGAAAATTTCCTAGAACTTCATACTACCTTACATGGCCAAAGATAAAATTCGTGACCAATGCTGGTTGAAATTAAAGTAAATGGTTGACAAAATCCGTACAATTGATGCATTTCCAATACGTTAGAGAATATCTTGTTCTACGTGAATGCAAAAGAAAATTTCAAAAAACTGTCTTCAACATCTGCACCAAACACGGTCACTGTTAAAAACTACCTCATTGGAAGAATTTGGCCAGGAATTGGGCGTCCACCACCTATCGGTTGCCGATCTGCGGAACCTGGACTGCCACATAAGAGCGACGCTCCAGTTACTTCGGCTACACGACGGCGTCGTTGTGTTATTGCATTCATAAAACTTAACAGAAAACTTCAATATGTTAGAACGAAGCTATTTACGACTAAACTATGAACCAGCAGAAATTATAAATCTTGTTCTGAATATTTAGTAGTGTAAAACGAAGCTGAATAAATATGGTAAGAATACTTACGAGTCATAGTTTGCATCTGGAGTTTCATGATAGCAATCGAGCTCTACGTCACTACATCTTATTTCCTCGGTATTCGTCTCTAGCTGTCGCTGGAGTGTCTCCCTCTTCAAACACAAAAAGAATACTCGAATTCCAGAAGATATAACATCTTAAAAAGAAGATAAGATAACCAAAAATCCAAGAAAAAGCCAGCTAACTTGCAAGTAAAGAAATGGCATGTTGAAGAATAAATATACGAAACGCAAGCCAAACGCATTGCGCATTGATGAAGACGTCCATCTCACGCGCGGAAAGCCGCCAGGTGACGGATGGGACCTGTTAAAGAAATTGTAAACTAAACATACTTTCTTTATCATAGTAAATCCTTAAAGAAATGTTTAAACGATAACTTAAACATAATTGTCGCAAAAGAAACAGTTCACATCGTTATAATCAATATTTGCAACCAGGAACAGTATGAAAGCAACATCTAACAAAGTCCTCGTTAGAAGCACAGTAACAACAATCTGATCTTCAATTTCAATGCTAGCATCAGCAAATGATGAACGATGGCAAGACGAGAGTGAACAGCAGTAAAAAAGAGGGATAGAGGAGGAAAAGTCATCAAAAAAGACGTACTACATCGTTGTAACCCAAAAAAGAAGCTTAAACAGTGCCAACTGAAAAAATCATTAACCAATCCCGTAAACTCGATGGTTTTCGGCACATTTAGGTTCACACCGCAAAAATAGTTCATATCAACAACTCGAAACGGCAACTTTCAGTTCCTGTACTATGGCTAGCGATTATCTGCAGGACGGACATTTTGGCGTTGAGTAACACCCAGACTTCCAAAATTCCACCAAACAACAATAACACAAACAGCTGAACCGACGATTTTCCAGTAGTTCAAGGCAAATATTGTATTCATCGAGACTGTCTTGTTCCAAAGACTTATCTATTATTTGTTCAGTTGTTTTGTTGAAGAGTTGGGTTTACGCCTTGTTAAATAGCGCACTCGAGATTTTCGAAAGCATAGCGGTTTAAACACGATCCTTCCCAGCACAGAAACAAGCATGAAAAATGCAAACGTCTGATCTATCTTGAGAAGAATTAGTACATCTTCATTAACGTTTGGAGCATCACTGACAATATAGAAATGAGTTATGACCATTGAGGTAACAGTTAACTGAATAACAGTCACCACTGAAACCACCAATGATACCCTGAAAAGAACTTGATGAGCACGCCCTGACGTCATTACAATTCACCTTTTTGCTCGAATTCGACCAATGCTCCACTCCACCTAAGACGATACACTCCAGGCCATAAGAAAAATGCATGCTAGACTACCCTAAAAAATCAGAAGGAAATAAACTGATAGTATACAAGGAATTATTCCTACTCAACCAACTGATACAAGGAAGTGGAATAAGTATACACACCAAAAGACGAGCATAAACATTATAGAAGCCAAGTTTGGTCGAACATTTTATCCTCAGCAACCCATTTACAGACGATGTTTCCTGAAGCGTTCAAAACAACAAATTTAGTTCATGGAGATTACCGTTTTACGTAGTATTTATCAATGGTTTAAGATCCTTCAGTAAACGGAGGAAAAACTCTTCACATTAAATAATTTTTAGTTGATGTCATACACCAAAGAAATCCTTGCGAAATATGTTGAAAGAATTACCTTTGAGGTTATGTAAACTGTCGCGATAAATCGGATTATGAATGGATCAAAAGCGAAGTCCTTATCTTGAGAAAGGCGGATTCTGTGAACGGTCTTTTTTTTTTCCGCGCCGAGTTGGCCTACACCTGCTTGATGTGATCGGGCAGATTTATGACTGCCGGCTAGAGCGTGGTTGGCTATATTCATACGAATCCAGCACGCTGGCGTGGCCAAAATCTTGACATACAGTGACGTGGAAGACACACGCAGAGCGGTTCAGGGCATCACAGTTGATAGAGAAATGAAGACACTACACGAGGGGTGACTTATTGCATCTTTCGTGCACTTTGTCCTACACCCTCATATGAGGATAATAGTCTGAAGATGACATTGAGAAACTTTGTTCGGAGCTGTATAGGTTCTATTGTAAGGTTCCAGCACCTTCCACATTGAACGTGGTAGACTTACAGTAAAACCAGCGTAATAAAATTCACCACATCATTTTCTCTCGGAAGATCGGCCTAATGCATACCGTCTGCCCTAAAAGCCCAGATAAAATCGGAACATTGCACCGCTTGTGCAAAATAATTCTTCTCAGAAAAACGAATGAAATGGAGAGATAATGTTGTGAACAATACGGTAAGAACACTATTTTTGCTTCCATGATGATATCATTTTCACAACACTAATTAATTTCGAAGTACAACAAACGCTGGCCGACCACGAAACAAGTGTTTGGGTCCTTCCATGATTATTGAATGCAAAAAAGACAACATCTATAAGGATAAAAGATTCAAAATGGTCTCTCGCCAAGCCTAATAAGGTTACCAAAGAAGAGAAAATAACTTTCTAAAAGATACACAGTGAAGAAGTTTAACGTATTGCTAACAAAGAAATAAGAGAGTTGTTCTAGCACTATAATTTTATGATTCATGCAAGTGATCGGCTCAACAGCTCAATTCTACTACAGCTACCTAGACGCCCAGATGACCAGCTTGCGTGTCCCAGTAGTTCGCCCATACGTCTTGTTGTCTTGCAATCGCCATCGGAGGTGGTCGTCTTCGTGAATTGGTTGGAATACTACTCCAGGAATTTCTTCTCTTAACTATCTCGTGAGTGGTGGTTGAGCGTGATTTATTGTGTAACCCCGAAATGGTTGTACTACGGCGATGTAAGGCCTTCACCAAAAGGAATCATCGATCAGTACGGGACGAAGTGAGATGTTCTGCGTTTCAATTTGTTTTTTTTTGACAGGATAGTGATTCTATGGCAGCGTCACCGATCCCATAACAAAGAAATGAAGCAATAATAATTCTATATCATAGGCTTGGCTCTTATACGTAAAAGCTGGTATTATTCCAGAGATTGTAGCGAAAGGAGGGAGTGCGGTTATTTTGTGTTTATGAACTGTTGTCAATGAGATGAAGCGACAATTTTAAAACAAACTTCGCTTTCTTCAGAGTCTGGAGTGGAACATATCGTTAAATACACTTATTCGGTGCACACAGTACAGTCTTAACAGAAAACAAATGCAGAGATTTCAATACGTTAAAAAACAGCCGACGATTTTCTGTTGTTTATGATTGCTAGGTCGTTATAACTACTATGTTGAATTCTAAGTTTTCCCGTCAGGAACACCTTACGCGGACATAAAGTGCTCTGTCCGTCTTGACAGTGCATTCATAACCCACATGTTACGAAACATCAGGCATATTGTACTTGAACTCATAATGTCACAATCACACAGATAGTAGTATTGGAGACTCTGAACTAATTGGCGTCGTAGAGTGTTCAGTAGTAGTTAAGTAACTACTACACAACTCTCAGTATCAGTAATTTTTAGGCATTTTCTAAGAGCGAGGCAATTCGATGGTGAACAGTAACTTAATAAGTAAGATAAACACAATATAAACAAGAAGACTAGATAGTACTGCAAAACGTTTCCTCTTAGCAGCCTAACAGCAGAGATTGGAACTGCGCGAGTTCAGGTATGGTGTACGTGGTCTCTTCTAGGGACCTCACTGATGAATATACTGGCGAAACGGATGGATGCTTTATGTTCGCATAAAAGGATAATTGAATGGAAAACTTAAAACACTATAAAGTACTCAAGTGGGTAAATGCAGAACATAAAAGCATAACGTTTATGATTACGAAAGTCACGATCCTGACCAAGAAGTTAGAAACGTCAACGCCAAAAACTCTTGAAACGATTAGGATCAACTGCAGAAATCCAAAGAACCGAGAAGAAATATCACATTTAACTACACGATTTGGCGTCATACCTCCGATTAATTTTCGGATCTGACTGAGTTTCATCCATCACCATGTGAAAACCATGCGGGTGGCTCTATTCGCTAGAAAAATACTAAACAATGGAAAATCAAGGAATGCTTCTAAACATATTGAAGTTTCTTCATCGAATTTTCATTAACCTTGTAGAATTCCAAACAAATACGTCAACACCATAACACAACCTAGAGTGGCTGCTTTGAGCACAGTTCTTACTTACTTGGATGGCTCGTCCTCACTGGTTGTGCGGGTCCCAGCATCATCTCCAACTTTTCGGAGTTTTACTGGTCTATCCACTGTGGGTCCCAGGAATCCCGAGGTCAGCCAGGCCAACTCTGTCCCAGGTTGTCACCACCACAAGCAGTTGTTGCCCTTGTGAATCAGAGGGAGAATTGCCACCACTCGACTAGTTTGATAGCGGGACGCTAATGGATCCTGGCATTGGTTTACTCTTAGCTAGGCCTCCTGGCGGAAACGCCAGACTCCTTCTCTTGTCAGCTTGGGAGACCCTGTTAGGGGGATGGATCCCCTCGCTGTACATCGCAGTCCAACACTCAGGAATACCTCCCAGCGACGATGAGGCGGTAAACCGACCGCTGGGAGGTAAGCACAGCTCGTAGAGACAAAAAAAAACTGCCTATTAATAATAAAGTTAACAGAATGGGTCTTGATCTGCAGTTTTCACAGAATTGATGCAAAACAGATGGATTCTTGACAAGTCTTCAAGCTCAACGGAACGCGAACAATCAACGCCAAATGCTCTACCATAGTGGGTTTGAGGTAGGAGCTCATGCCAAACACTATGAAACAAGACTAAAGCAAGGGAATAGTTTGGAGCCAAGAGTTTATGAAACATCATCAACATTGTCAACAGGATAAAGAACACCGTGCCCCGAGTCCACTTTGAATGCAGTTTTTTCCACTTTAATGCAAGTTTCATAAATTTGAATACTGTGTAAGTAAAGCAAAAGTGCAGGCAATGCTTTCTAAAACCCTACTATACGAATATACTAGCAGTATCGTGTCTCTTTTAGAAATTTGAGCGAAAAATCTAGAATTCCAAAGCAAATCGACAATCAGGCACCAATAACGCTTTCACATATGCTAAGATGTGGTAAATCGGTCCAACCAGACATTTCAAATGTCAAAACAACGATCATTGAACAAAACCAGTCTTAGCTGAGTTACATGGAATGTCAAGTGCACGCAATGTATTCCATACGATGATTCAATAAGATTCATACATAAATCATGACCGAAAACCTCTTGAGACGTCAAAAGTGAATCAAGCTTTTAAAAACTAACTGCACTCGAAGATGCAAGGACCAACCCGGCCACTGAACAATGGGCGAAGACATAAAGAACCACAGAAGGCATAAGCCCCGCAATTGGAAAATAGAAAGCAATCGTATTGTTTTCATAGAAAACCCAGTGGCTGAATGAAATCCATCTAAAGGCGGTTTACTATGAAGCAGCAAACAATAACAATATTAAACAGGAACAAATGTGATCAATGACAATAAGAACAAGAACTTCACAAAGCATTCACGAAATAAACCAGTCAACTTCATAACTTCATATGGAAAACGAAAGTACAACGACAACACGGCCGTCTGCCCATATCAGACAGCAGGACGACTACCTAATACCTTAGCTACCTAGGACGACTACCTTAGCCATGATCTAGTTGGTAGAAATAAGAAAATAAGACAACAGGTAGGAGCACCAATGAAACGTGGCAAAACAAACAAAAAAGAAGAGAAATGGCGAAAAAAAAACAGCTAGGAAGAAAGCAGGAAGGAAAACGCCCAACAGTACGAGCAAAAAACAGCGCTTGCGCAAAGTCATAATTTTGTAGAATTGTATGATCACATGCTTCAAGAGTTAAAAACCACCTACGTGTTGAAGTTCTCGACAAAATCAGAGATTTGGTCGTCGGTGATCTCCCTATGATGACCCATATCCCGACGGTTTGCAAGGATTAGAATCTGTGAAAGCGCAAACATTAGTTTCCTATAAAGAAATGGAAGTGTGCAATTACACCCAATATCTGGCGAAACAGGATGGAAATGATAGTAACACCAGCAATATTAAAATTGTGATTACTTTGAAGTTATGTGGAACGATGTTCTGAATGTTGCATCGAGTGTTTCCTTCATTGATACTAAAAAAAACTTGTCTGAGGTGGAGTGTATCAAGATGCAATGTGACAGCAACAAGGAGACAAACCCTGAGAATACTTTCGGAAAAAGTCTATTATGATGAGCACTATACATGTATTCCAGATGAAATTGAGATCTTCTACTACGAGCCTTTGTCCGGCAAGCTGCCTACATGAAGTGCACATTCCGCAAAGACATGAAGTCCGAATTCACCGTGTATTTCTAGCTCCTGAGTTTCCTAGCAGGGCACCAAGTTTCAAATCTTATGAAGGTTGGGTCCGGCACTATTAGACACACTTTAAAGATACAAGGTCATTCGCGTGTTACTACTTCCGAATTGGCAGACGTAATCAGCTGACGCCACTCTAACATCAGGAAGCACTTGCACAAGTTTGCCTAGTGTAATGATGACCAATGGATTGCACAATAGTTGAAGATTATGAGCGGAACTGTTCGAGCAGAAGTTTCCCAGTCGCCGCGGAAGGTTTTCCTGAAGGATCACACAATGAGTGGCGAGAGTTACACCTTTTTAAAGGAACAGGTGATGTGGGGTGATGTGACAGCATGCTCTTTATAATCTGGTGCCTTTTAATTTGCACTTTTTCCGATTTATAAAACATTCTTTTCCAAAGATCGCTTGCCAACTTCGACAAATTAGAATAAAGATGTTACCTTTTTCTCTTCAAACTTCCACGTTTTAACCTTAAACCAAGGCTAATGCATTTGTCTTCATAATATTCATAACTCTATAACAAATTTTATTCCAACTTTAACCTATCTTGAACCCCCCAACCATTGGGAAGAAAGAAAAAGGATGAGTAAAACCAAATTTCTATACAAATTCAGATGTTGAGGAAGGCTTGCAATATGATATCGATATTGCGTTTGATCAAGGAATTATCAGTTAAAGGAGAGAGTAAGGACTGTCTAAATATCTAAAGGCGACATCTGAAGTAAATCAATGCACAACAATTCGACAATATGCTGAAGAACAATGCTTACGAATACCAACGCGTGATTTACCGACATTCAAAGAAAATGAGCGCTGCATGAAGTGGACGCTAAGTCACGAGATCTTCTTCAAGAAGTTTGCATTGTGACACTTTTGCGCAGCAAACGCTATTCATTTTCTCTGAACACTGTGACGTGATACAAAATGTGCCTTTTACATAAACATCGACTGGTGAGAAGAACATCAGAACCGGAGACATTCCTCAAGGCTAGACTTGCAGCAGCACGTAATGGTGGTCTCACGGTCAGCTAATTGATTATAATTTATTAGTTTTCACTCACTAGAATTTAGAAAATTCATTACAGTTTCTTCAGTTATAGCAAAACTATTACAGCAAAAAAGGAACGTCAGGTAATCGAAAGAATTCGACAATACCAACGATCACTGAAATTTTTAATTTTATAAAATAATTTTATTTCGCGACAACTACAACAAATGTGGGATGAACAGGAAATTACCGCAACCACTCAACTCGACAAGATCACAACATAGCTAAGCGTCAACACCGACCTTTTCCAATCCGCAACTCCGCACCTAGGTGTAAAACAACTCTTTCAAAAAAGACCACTTGGGTTCACTTCTCCAAAACCCCATACGAGCATGAGCACGAAAAATGGCGGAAGACCAAAGAATGCCAACTTCACAATCTAGTTCGTTCTGAATGGAAGCCATAGAGAAAAAAAATTGCAGACTAGTGGAGAACTTTATTCATGGTCATCGCAGCACTTAAAGGTTACGGAAGATATAACCGGCAACTACCGCCCGACTGCTAACACTTGTAGTGCAATGGTAGCAGAATGCAATACGTACAGGCGCTAACTCCATTAGGCATTTCGCGAAAAGCGTTCTCTCCATCCCTTCGTGATTGGCAACTTTGTAGCAGAACTGCATACAACAACGAGAAAAAAAACCAACATTGACTTAGCGTATCGGCAGGCCCCCAGAAGTCAGTGTAGACCTGACATGCGTTCAGCCACCTGTGGTGGACACCTACTTGAATGCTTGGACAACCCACCCTCACTGGTTGCGTAGGCCCCAGCACAATCTCCAATTTTCCAAGTTTTTCTAATTTAGCTATTGTGTTTCTCTAGGGTCTCAAGGCTAGCCAGGCCAAAGTATGCTCCAGATCGTCACCACCACAGGCAGTAGCGGCCCTTGTGGATCGGATCGGAGAAAGATTTGCCACAATGCGACTAGTTTGGTACCAGGACGGTGGTTGACCCTGGTGTTGGCTTACTCTTAGTTAGGCTTTCTGATGGCAAGGAAGGACTTCTTCTCAACTTGGGAGACCCAGCCGGCGGGATGAATCGCAAACTGTTCATCGCAACCCAACACCCAGGAACACCTCTCAGCCACGATGAGGCAGTAAACCGTTGGAAGGCTGTGGTGCATAACGGAGAAGAATAAATGGGGGACCTTAAGAGATTGATCAACACTCAACGTCCTATTCTTTTATCATTTAAAGGTTAAAAGAATAACCCGCGGCATCGATCATCCCCTGAGGGATGCGCCATGCATTCGACTTCAATAAGCATCGTTTGGAGGCTATTGAATGCGTATCTGGCCTTTACAATGACTCTCGGTGGCCTATCGATGTATCGAGGCAGTGCTGCTATCCTCCCAAACAGGTATGGTACCAATTTGCCGACGCCGGAGGGATGCAAGGCCTGGTGGGCCATGGGCGCGGGATCGATTCCACTTGTGTGTTGCAGGGCACCTCCGACCACTGCGCCACACGGGCCCTCTATCATTTACCACTCGATTTATTTTTAGCTGTGCTCCACGGTTCTTCACGTGGATTACCCTATTGTGCACCTAAAGGACTACATGTAGAATTCAATCAATACACGAATCAAGATTTTGACAGGGATTCTGTCTAACCATATCCATTCAACTGAGATTAGAGGACGACGTGAGAACCTTTAACTAGTTGTCTTAGTCTTTGTTGAAATAACAAAGAGCCTCCGGAAACATCTGACAACTCTCACTTTGCACCGTTATCACTTCATATGGAAATGGGCCGGTAAGATACAATTTTACGAGAGCTGCTTATCGACGCACATAGAAAAGAATTGCTGCCAATCCTTAGTTCAGCTGAACCTCAATGAATATGGTAAGCGACATGACACCGGAACCGTTGAAGACCAGAAAAACCATACTGCTCTAGAACAAGCCACTCAAAGCTGGAACAAAATTACTACACTTCCCACGATCCAACGATACTCTCAGGGTTTCGCACAAACATGGTGGCCTGGCCCTTAAACAATATCGATGACTTTGTGTAACATTGCGCTTGCACAGTAACGTTCAGAAACACAACTGGTGCACTTAACGTAAAGTCAGAATATGCAAGTTAGACCATTGTCAGAAATCGCACTTTGTTCATTCAGTGGAATAAATACAATGTAGAAAAAATGGACGGGCTGGTCAGGAAGTTTGAAAAGTGGACAACAGAGAAACAACGTTAGAAGTAAAAGCGGATGCAAACGTCTTCTATGAGTTTAACGGAAAAATGCTGAACCCAACACGGATCTGAGTCCCTCTATGGGTTACCCATGTACCAGAGTAAAAATGTGTATTACCTTCTAAGAATTCACCTATACTATCAGTAATTCCTTTTTTAACGACGATATTGGAGGTCAGTTTAAGTCACAATGAATAAGTAAATGGCATACAACTAGCTCTAAGCAGCAACGAAGCTATAATACCAAAGTGTCACTAGAATAAAACAAATCCACAGCCTTCAGTTTTAAAACCTCGACCACATGTAAACAGTTACTTAGCACATGCTATGACCAGCAGATCGCCTTCTCGTTCTTCACAAATCTTCCTCATATAAAATTTCACAAAAGGTAAAAATTCCTACCGGAAGATGAGAAGGGACCGCCTCTATTTCATTTTGAACGTAGTCCCACGACCACGGCTTCGTGATGTCCAACATGAGGATAGCACCATGCGCACCTTTGTACACGTCAACAAAACGTGCATCACATGCCACTTCCTCCCACTGCTTCACATAAGGTATCCCTGATTGAATATATTCAAAACAAAACACAAATGGCTATCGTTACCTCATCTAGTTGTTTTCCAGATGCGTTGGAAAGCTTGAGCTTTCCGTTTTTCAAGCGCTTTTTAGTTGATGAGTCAACTACATCCCAAACGTCTACTTTAACAACATCGTCTGTTGCTTTGTAATTCCAGTGAACGCTAGCAACCTAAGGCAACAAGTAGACTGAAGAAAACAACTTTCTACTTCGCACTTGTATCCTTCGCACCTGAATTTCCTCGGTGGTAACGTAGTCCTCCAAAAATGGTAGCCCTTGCAAACGACGGAGTAAGCACGACTTGCCTACGTTCCGATCACCACGTATTACAATCTTCACTGAAAAGAAACTCTTAAAAACAATAAACGATGTGTTTAACTCAAAGAATCTATTTAACTGTTATACTGAATCCCTCTCGCAAATCGTTTCTGTAGCTCTTGATCGACTCGCTGAATACCAGATGGAATAGGAGACGAGGTAGAATCGTCCTTGTCCCCCCCTAGCTTCCTTCGAAGGGCAGAAATCATCCTGAACAGCACAAAGACAGTGAGTCCACCAATCAACCAACTATTACTAGTCAGACAACATTGCAATGCTATTAGATCCCTCTTGCAAAACGATTAGGTCGTCATTGCTGTAAAGTAATAGATCTTGTAAATCAGAAAGTAAAGAAAAAACTGTAGAACTAAGCCATGAGAAGGAATACTTCCAATTCAGGATGAAAAACTCGAGTAGAACTTGTACGAGCAGGACAGAATAAACAGTGTACTGCCGAGAACGAGTTGCGCCGGTTGCGTCGCGGTCAAAACGAGCTTTCAGTCGAATCGTCGCGCCCTACCATCCGAGTCGTTGGACCCATAGACATCCCGTTCGTACTAATTTAAAAACACTTCGTCACCAGTTTTCATGGTTCCTTAGTCAATTTATCGAGATTGTCATCTTCGCTAACGTTTTTCTTCGGAATCCCGCCGAAATGTAGAGAAACCAGTGTCTAATCATCGCTTTATAACCTGTGACGTGCAGTTTTATCTCTCCAAGCCTAAATATAAACCCTGCTTGAGGTTTTGCGCGCTCGAAAGATATCACTAAGTGAAAGAAAGACGCAGTTGCTGGGACAAAGTTTCTGCAAAGAATGTAGAAACAAATCCTCTCTTATTAGATGCTTAGAGTCTACCCAGACCGATTGTCTTCATGTTGTACCTTCTTGAGTAGTTCGGCTCCTACTGGGGCCTGATTTAGGTACTCAGCTCTTTACTGGGTGATCTGTCAAATTGGTGGTTTCTACTAAATCAGCATTGTTAAGCGAATGTTCGCCATTTGTTCCTTTTATTACGCTTTTGTAACCTGGAAGTTTATTATAAAGTCCTATGTTCACCAAGGGCATGGGGTCGATCCCTCGCCCCAAGCTCATCAAGCCTTCCATCCTCCGGGGTCGGCAAATTGGTACCAGACTTGTCTGGGAGGACAGCAGCGCTGCCTCGATACATCGGTAGGCCACTGCGAGTCATTGTAAACGCCAGATATTCATCCAATCACCTCCAAACGATGCTAAATGATGTCGTATGCATGGCGCATTCCTCAGGGATTGATCAACGCCGAGAGCTTTATCTTTCTATTTATACTTTGTCAATGTTCACGTGCTTATCGGAAGTACAAGCTGACAGTTAGGTGACAAGCTCTGACTACAACTTTGTGTATTATATAAGTGAGACATTGGTATGTCTTACTGCTGTGAAAGACTGGTCGTATTCTTTTCACTCTGTAAATGATTTCTATGAAATACCGGTTCGTAGCACTACTTTCCGCCCCTGACTACTTTATGATAACGTCGTTTGGTGAACGTATTAATGTTGCCCATCGTCGAAGAAGTTCTCGAAATCTAAACGATGTTGCAAGAAATTGCTACACATCACGAAACACCAGCTGTTCCTATTACATAGACTGTTCGCACACTTTCCTTTCATCAATCAGACTGATGTGTTTGAGCGAGGATGCAAAGTCCTCTACTCGAGACGTTAATAGTCAGGTGTGACTCTCATGAACTTCTCTTTTCATCTACCAAAAACATTCTTGTACTCCTTGCACACATTTGATTGACAAGCGGCTAGTACTTCATCTACTGGCGGTGTTCCCAAACACTAAGCGGTTGAAAAACTGTTGAAAGTTTAAGAAAGTCGCTTGCAAAAAATTCTTTCTTGAGTTTTCTTCCGTGTTGAGCAGAACCATACTGGCAACTTCTAACAATTCTAAAAGCAAAAAACGGTCTTTTTAATGTTACATGTTAAGTTTGTACGCGTGCATGCGTCCGCCTTACCTTTTATATCCTTGACCTGGTTATTAGTCGACGTACGTATGAAAGTTCTTGTTCCTCTTCCTTGTCCGCAATTGTACGTATCCCTTAGCCTTCGGATAGCCCAGTTCGTCATTGCTTTAGTAATTTGGAGTAATAATAGTTCTGCATGAGATTCAATAACAAATATCCTCCGAAAATCGATGATTCGAAAGAAGGTCACTCTGAGGATACCTATAGCTTCTAAGAGATTGTCGCATATTGTGGCCTGATTTGGTAAGCAGGATTTTGGAACGAATATATGCAGATTCTCTGTTCATAATAACGTGCAACCTTCTTTTTACTGGGAAATCGCGTGAAAAATTTTGTGTAGGGAAATGGGAAGCACATTTGGTTTTTTCTGTTGGTAAATTCTACAACGTATTTCCTTTGAAAATGAAAACTTCCAGACCTCACTTTACAAGTTTTTCAAAAGTTGTAGTTTTTAAAGCGCGGCTTTGGTCTACAACAAAGTAACTGTAATTGTTAGTTAGATGTCCCAACGCACGAGTTGTTGCGTGATTGTTCTTTGCAAAACTCGAGAATTGCAAAATATTGAGACGTTACAGAGGATATGAAATGATCGATGTCAGTTTCCAGTTATGATTGATCTCTATGGTCGTTTCGGAAAACATCGACAACCAACGATAAATGAAAAGAGCCAAGTTCGATGGATGTGCCCCATAGAGTAGAGCTTGTCAGCGAAAGCTCCAGATCATATAATGGGTTAGCTTCCCAATATATGCATAAACTTTGTCATTCCGTAGAGGTACTCTAATTTTGAGACGCTATTTGAATGATGTTTTTTCCATTTCTGAAAGAGAACCACGAAACGACATATTCAACGATGTACTCTGCTTAGTATGAGTTTACAACTTTCTTTCTAAATTCCAACAGAACAATAAAAGCACACTCGTTTCAGCAAAGCCTGGTCTCGCTTCATGTCGTAGAAATTGTCTTTGTGGAAGCCAATGACCATGAATATGGTTGATAGAGAGGACCCAGTTCCAATCTCCGTTAAGACTTATCTGTAGAGTTTCATGTCGTAGAAGCTGTCTGCATGAAAGCCGTTGACCATGAATATGGTTAATAGAGACAACCCAGTTCTCATCTCCACTAAGAACAATCTTTAAAGCTTCCATTCTATGCGGACTTATGAACAGTCTGTTCGTAGACTGTTTATTTTACCGGAGTTGCTAAGGTAGCGAATAGTTTCTCTGATATTCAAGGTCGTTCCACAGCTTGCCGATACCTGTGTGTTGACAAAAACATTCCAACGCATTCTAGCGCAAATGTCGCCCAATTCCTTTGTTCTTTCTTCCTTGGTAAATGCTTTAGAAAGTTATTGAGAATTTTCTTTTCAACGTAGTACTTTGTTTTTGAAGTAAATGAGTGCTTATCAGTCCCTGTAAAGACAAAGTTACGAGTTACTCGTTTCTTTTCCAAAAAAAAGGTTTGCTAGGAGTTTTGGATTTGTGGGATTCAACTTGAGACCGACATCACTTTGTTCTCGTTTCGTATACTGTCGTTGTCTACTGTACTTCTCTTTTTTTTGTTGTCGTTTGTTAAATTTTCCTCATCAATGAGCAAAATTTAGTGTAACGAGATGTTCTTCAAAATGTCTTCTCGTCACAGAAATGTTCACCAATTTTCTTCGAGTTGGCGGAGGACAGGTTATTTTTTAAACAACTTTTATGCCATATTCTCACAACGACGTCCCAGACTTCCTCCACACAAATACCTTTCGTTTTTGCTTTCTGTTTCCGCTGACAGTCGATAGCAAAGCAATATACACAACAGATTGCGCTGTTCAGTGTACTCAGCTGTGGAACTAACGAAATGGCAAAATTTTTCCATTGTTCTACTCCATTCGCAGCTAGTATTCAGCGAAACCCACTAGCTAACGCTTCTGTGTTCATTCTGTAATTCGTATATCGTTTATTGGTTTATTTGATAGAAAAAAGCTCTTCCAGCGGGACAAGAAAAAACGTGAATTGCGCTACAAAATTTTGGCCTGTCAGTATGAATAACTCGAACAACGTGGTGTTTCTCTTGAAAAGTGCCATTTTAAATATTAATCTGAATCGTAACTACTTGTAATTTTTGGTCACATTATTCACTTGCATTCCACTTTTTTCAAAGTGTAATTTTGATCACCGATATGTTCACCACTGTTACCAAAGGCTTTATCTTGGTATTTTTAGGTAGTTTCTAGATCGGTTTCCGCCAAAAGAACTGGGTTTGCCATTCGAAGATGTTAGCAAGGCGTTTCCGAACTGTAGTACTCGTGGAACTTGTTGTAGCATAGGTGGCTGTTATACGTACAGATGTACTTCTACGGAAAAAGACGGGTTCTACGAAGGTAGTGTCCGGACTGTGGAGCGAGCGAGATGTAGACCAACTGTTTGTTATTTAAGTGCGATATGAGACCAAGAGATGTCATGCAGTAACCGGACTTTGGCTGGTTTCGACCTGTTTTCTCGCAAGGCAGCAGTGAGCTTGTGAACTGCTCCGCGTGCTAGTCCAGGTCTTGTGGTCTAGCTCCATGAGCTCCTAAAAAATCATGCTTTCTTAATCCCAAAAGATAGATGGCATCAACATGCGTCCATGTGGATCGGGTTTCGGCTGAACCGATGAATCTACCTCGCTAGTAAAGCAAGAATAGTTGGTGAATGGGGAAGAAAATGCACGTGGAAATGTTCGATGTTTAAGAAGAGCTCGATGTAAGCATATATCACCTTCAGTCACGTTCGCTGTTGGAAGCTTTTCATTGCAGATGAAAGAGCAGCGATTCACAGATGCTGATTAGCGGGGATCGGATCAGTTTTGCTTGGTTGGAATTTAAAAGCAAGTTATCGATTTGAGTATCAATCGATTATGGTTGGATCAAAGATGTGTGCCTTCTTCAGTTCGTGTGTGCTTAAGTCCGCAAGCGGCAGAGATACGCGCACAGAGCGTCCACGTGGAAGGTGCTTCAGTTCTGTTGATCGGCAGCGGCAATGTTCACTTGATATTGGCCAGCTACTCAAATGTAGACTTGATCATATAGGCGGTTATCGGTACGTCAATGCGAAGCAGATGTTCGTAGAGCAAGAAAACTTAAATTGTTGTCACCGCTGCGCGCATCTCTTTTTGCATCCTTACCAAAGAATGTTTTGTGGTTTGGTCCATCAAGAGGCAAGTCAGTTCTGATGTGGAAAAAGCTGGAAAAACCAGAAGGCATATGTTCGAACCTAGTAAGTGCTTAAGCCTAGTAATTTTGTGAAAAAAACTCTTTCATGGTTCGCAAAACAATGACACATATTCTTCTTGGAATCACTTCCTTTCTAAAGTATCATCTTCTTAAAACAGCGTTCGCAGTCGTCATTCTATGAAGAGTGGTATCATTCAATTCTGTCCTGTTATACTTAGCCACGAGAAATGCTAGTTGTTTTTCAATTTTGTTAAACTGTTTCTTAATCCATAAAATTCGTCTTTGTGTGTTTTTCGTCACCTACCTACCGTCACCGTCACCTACCTAAGTACTTCGTCCCCCTCCCCCCATCCTCCTTTTCGAATTTAGTCGTTGCAATATAATTGTCGGAAGTAGAGCAACAAAGGAATGATTCACGGTTGAAAGACAGAGGGTGGAGTGCAATCTGGCCATTGATGTCGCCGCCGATGATCTTGTGGAACGAGTGATTTTCTCTGCACTGCTTTCCCACTTGACGACACTTGAATGGCCCGTCCTCACTGGTTGTGTGGGGCCCAGCATAATCTCCATTTTTCGGAGATTTGCTGGTTAAGCCATTGTGGTCTCTGCAATCCCGAGGTCAGCCTGGCCAAAGTCTGCCCAAGGTCTTCACCACCACAGGCAGTCGCAGTCCTTGTAGATCAGAGGGAGATTTGCCACCATGCGACTTTGATACCAGGACGGTGGTGGATCCCGGTATTGGTTCACTCATAGCTAGATTTCCTCATGCAAACGCCGGACTCCTTCTCAGCTTGGGAGACCCTGCCAGGAAATGAATCCCCCGCTGTACATCGCAGCCCGTCACCTAGGAATACCTCCTAGCCACGATGAGTCGGTAAACCGTTGGGAGGCGCTGCTTTTCTAAGTTTATGTAAAGTATACACACCTCATCGTCTAGGTTTTGAAAACTGTTGAACCCGGTAAAGCTCAGGTAAGGGAGAAGCGAAGTGGTTAGTGATGAAGTCCATCACGAAGCAAAGCACCAGTTCGACCTACTGCCCAACATTCTTCCGATCCACGTGGGTGCGCCTTAGCTCGCCTATCACTAAGATCACTAAGACTGCAAGAAGAGTCGACTCGACCAGCATTCTACGACGTTCATAAAAAAAGAAGAAATCCTTAAGCAACAGCTGAAACTGCGAAATTCTCGAATAGCTTTCTTGACGATGAGTTCGAAGAAAATAAATCGAATACAAGAAGTGCAAAGACTTCCACCGTAGATGTAATGTCATACAGTAAAAAATGAAGTAAAAAAGGATCATGTTGGTGGTGTTGCCATTTTAGCTAGCTCCTCTACTTACGCGTTTTTTTCACTTTTGTTTTATTACATAATCCGATATCACACATCTGTTCTCAAAACTGTGTGGTTCCCAGCACTGGTTGTGTTTGATTCGCATCTCCACATCGACCATGCTTGAGGACTTTGGAACTTTTTCGCATGTTGCTTCGGCTGCTGCGTGAGAATTCTTGCATCTTCATCACGAACATCGTTAAATGCTAGTTGAGTCAATTGTTCATAGACTTCTGAGATAGCTGTTCAAGTACGTTCCCACGTGATTAACAGAGTGTGCTTGTCCGAGAGAAGCGTGGCACCAAATCCGCGATCTCGGTGGGAAGCGAAGGTTGATGGACTCGAGGTAAGGTCGAACCAACTGGATCTGGCTAGGTAGGGCATCTGCATAGTGAACTGAGTCTCGTTATTACTTTGAGTTTAGCGTCATGAAATGAAGTGTAGAACTTCTTCTTCGATTTGCTGTTTTGCAATTGTCAATACATGGCAGCAGATACTTTACAATGTTCTACGGTAGGTAGGAAAATTTAAGTGCAGCTTTCGATACTTTCTTGTACTAGGAATGAAGCTTATTTTTGGGAAGCGCTTGTGTTTTCGAATAACCTTATTGCAATTTTTGAGGGGAATCGGCATTCTAGAGAAAAATCGCGTACAAGCAACGAGACCTACACACGTATGCATAATTATTACAGCGCGTGCTGAAAATACAAGTCACTCCAGCACATCAGAGAATGGTTCTAAATCCTTAAAACAACTTGCGTTTTAGGGTAAATATACAGTCGCTTTCTGTCGGCAATTAATTGTGCTAGTTCCCAGGATCGACTTTCTATTAACCTCGGCATTGGAATATGAATGTATCGTTTTCTTCTTCAGCAGTCGCGAGGTTTTTAAACAGCATACATTTACTTCCATAGAAAAACACAATACAATACAACACTAGCTGACGTTTCGGCAGTAACGTCTTTTTCAGAGCCTGGAAGGGTATAGTGATATACAATTTACTAGGCCAAACACTTCAATACCACTTACAAAAAGACGGAAAACTCTATGGTAATTACATGATCAACAGCTTCTCGAAAAACTCACCGCATTTTACGTGACTTCCGATGAGGAAGTTTAGAACAGCTGATTGTAGTCGCATATGGTTGATGACTGCACCACCCCACAACAGAAATTGGTGCGATTATACAGGGTTCGCGTATGACCTCTAGGCCTTCATCCCTGTTATTCATTGTAGGCATTTTTGGCATTTATCCAAAAAGCCTCAAGAAGTTTTCGCGATGGTGTTTTGGACTTCTGTGCAAGGATATTGACTTTTACTTCAAAAACATCTCCGCAATGCTTTTGTATCCTATGCGTGCCTCCTAGTGGGGTGCTTCGTCTTAGTTTTTGTTTGCCATCTAGGTGTTCTTTTATACGGATACACAAAGGTCTGCTCGTTTCGCCAATATATTCATCTCCTCAATTATTATAAGAGATCAGGTATATCGTACCTGAACTCTTGCAATCACCGTCCCTGCCGTAAGGGCAAATTACGCAGTTTGTTGTTTCACAAAGACAGTTATACAGGCGGTTACGAACTAATTGACGACGTAGAGTAGCCGGTGGTATTTCAACTATCGCTATCGATTCCTCTAGACCTGCCCTTCTTAAGCATCGTTTTATAGCTACGCTTACTTCATCGCTTATAAAAGGCAACATAAACGGGGTTTTCTTTTGGCCAAGTGTTTCGCGTGGGCGCGTCGCTCTCCTAAACTTATCTCGTGGGGTTACTATTTCGTAGCCACTTGGAGATGGCTATTTGCCGAGCCAAGTCATTTTTGTTCATTTTCTTTCTTCCCACCCGTCACACACAAAGAGGGCGATTGTGAGAAACATGTTTCGAACAACCGCCTCTGTGTGCACTACCAGGGAACGCCGAACCACGCCATCTCTTCGGTGCAGAAGCGAACCGTACACAGTGAACTCCGGACCCCAGGTGATGGAAATAAGCAGGGAACCAAAGAAGGACTATAATCAGCTGTTCTAAACTTCCCCATTGGAAGTCACGAAAAAGCTGCTCTGAAGAAGGCGGTACTGCCGAAACGTCAGCTGGTGTTGTATTGTATTGTGTTTTTCTATAGAAATAAATGTATGCTGTTTAGAAACCTCGCGATTGCTGAATAAGAAAACGACAAATTAATTGTGCGTTCTCCACAAAGCGATCACCACCTAACCTTACAGTTATCCGACTAAGAATTGCTGAATGAGGAAGATTCTTGAGATGCAGTGGTGGAGAGAAATTAGACAATGGCATTTGTATGCACCCTTTCTATGCGACTATGATTTACGTTTCGATTTTAGTCGAATCGTGCTAATAGCAGGAAGTTAGCTAACAAAGGAAGTGCTCGTAGGTGGAGACTAATGACAGCATGTTTTCGGCTTTAGGCAAGTCTCAATCTACACGCAAGCAACGAATTGTTCTTACTGATACTAGCTAGTGTAAGTAGATTTCCGTCGTTGCGCACCGTGTACGGTCGACCTCCGTTGCGAATAGTACTGTAGTGACCGCATCGCGGCCGCCTGCGCGTTCACTATTCAAACAAACAATGGTGAACCCGCTGGTGCTTCACTTCTTTCGTCTTTTGGGGTTTGATCACTACAAGTCCTGAACGGTTTATTTACTTGATCTTACTCTGCTCATAAGATGAGGTGAGGTCATGAGGGTTATGCAACGTATGAGTTTTCTTAGTGACCGTATTTCCGTAGTTGTGGCGAAAGTTTCTCTAGGAATTTATTTTCTTTGGAGTCACTTACTTTACTTTATATTATTTTGACTACTTATAGATGCGTTCAGTTTGATCTTGAATCTGTTTGATTCAAGTAGTTTGTTGTTGCTTGTATATTTGTTGAACTCATCTATTTTAGGGATACTGTAGAGCTGAGGTGATGCCTTTAGCGGGCCATGAAGCCCTCGCGATTGCCTTCGATTCCACTCAGATAGTTCTTACCATTTGCTCTCTGTTCTCGATGATAACACTGGTTACATTATGCACGTGCTGTAAAAAAGTGAAACTAAGGTGATTCTTTTCGCCATCTTCTACAAATATAGTGACTTAATGAACGTATGATCGATGGTGAGATGCTAATGAGGTTGTTTTCATATCTTTTGTGTTGTGTCCTACAATCTAGCGTAAGCACGATGGATAGGGGCTGGCTTCCTGCAGTCCTGTTCTTTGATCTAGGTTCCTAGGTCGTATATCTAGTGAGGTGTTTACCATCGAAGAGAATATAATTGAAGCGGTTGCCATGAGTTCTTTCAAGTACTTGTTACTGCTTGAATTTCAACCCTTACACAAGTACTTGTGCTTGTTCAGGGGCTAGAAATACAATGCGATTCATATGATCGGTTGGTCGACCCCTTTTTCTAGGCAGACCAAGTTCTTCATCCCTCTTTGTTCAAAATTTGTTGCCGGTTTTGTCTAGAAGGATCAGGAATAGCAATTTAGTGCATCGATCGGTCCGTGCAAATGATTCTTTGGGAAAATATGGGATTAAATATGTATTCAATCACCTTTTCGATGTTTAGAGGAGTCAAATGTGTGACGCACACCTAAGGGTTTTTTGATTAACTTCCGCTTTATTCTGTTTATGAAATACTCATTTATAATTGCGATCTTAGGTTTTGCGTTGTTACTTCATTTATGGTAAAAATGACTAGTTACCTATTCTTTGTCTGGTTTTTTTTCTTTATGGTCTTATTTGCTGTGGAACCTCACAGAAGATGTAGTTTCTCACTAGCGCGAACTGCTCGATTTCTCCTCTTTTTTGGCCCACAGAAATTATCAGGCTCTTTTTTTCTCGAAATTTTTATCTTTAAGAGAGAATGGACATGAAATCCTTTGTAGTACCAGAAATATTTTCCGATCTTGCATAATTTTTTTTTGTGGCGAAGCGAAGTGTTACATTTAAGAAAAATCGGCTGAAAAAATAGTTGTGTTTGAATAATGTGTTCCTTTAAGGGACTCCGATGAAGTTTATGGTGTCGTCGATCCAGCAGCGCTTAGCGTTGTCTCCGCCGATGCTTCGACATCACACTGTGTGCAGTTTCGTCAAACTGGGAGGATCGACAGAATGAACGAGCGCCACTCCCAGCCCGCAGCCAAAGTCGTTACTTTGCTTTTCCTTCCGTTTTTGCTTCTTAGACTATAGTTAGATTCTGTTACACAAATATCTTGAATTTGGAAGTTATTCCACTGCTCTTTCTCCCACGTAATGATTTCTAGTGTGCTGTTGTTGGAGACGAAAGCTCATCGTTAAGGGCTTCTGCTCCCTTGCAAATGGGTCGGGCTTTGCCACAGCTGCCAGCGGATATGTACTCAGGTATAAGTTGCGTCGAAAATACTAGATATATGCATAGTTGTGTAGATTTGCAAGTTTCCAAATAGCCTACTTGCTAGAGATGAAGACAGATAGGCTCACTAGATAACGCCCCGAATTGATTTTTCAACAAAAATGATGATGTTTCTATAAGTTGAGAACTTGAAGAGTTTAAGTACGGAGAACTATAGAGGAAACTTTATTCTATTGCCGTAATCGTATATATACACATATATGTGTATATATAGGGGCGGATAGCACAGTGGTAGTAGTAGTAATGTCCGTCATCACGAGCATGGTGCTGGCTTGATTCTGCTCCGGTTCAACCAAGCCTCTCATCCCTCCGGGGTCGGGAAATTGGTACCGGATTTGTCCGGGGAAAAATCATTCTCTACAATCCAACTGGGAATGCTCCAGCCAGGCTATCTCAGGACTCCAAGGTGAATTGCTCGGTCAGCATTCTACGACATTCAAGATGAAATGAAAATCCTCAAGCATCCCGAAGCCTCACCTAGAGTCGGATGATCTTCGTGGACAATGAATGCGAGGGAACGAATCGAATGTGAGAAGTGCTGGGATTCGCACGGTAGACGTGAAGACTGGTCAAATAAAAATAAGAAAAAATAAATATACATACACATGTATATGTATATATATGTACGTGTGCGTGCTTCTATATAATTTTTTTAAGGTATTCTGTCATTTCTGAAACTTTTTATAGTTGTAATCTTTAAGAAGTTGAACAAGTTTTGAAATTTTAAAATATCTCATGAATATATAATATCCACAAACACCAGCGATACATTGGACTAAACCAGCTTGTGATTCTGGGTGAAATTCCGCTTGTTTAGTTGTTTCCAAGCACGACTCTTTAGCCAAAAAACACTTGACAGAAGCTCTTCGTTGATTCGAAAAAATCGGATTTTCGTCTAAGTGAAATAAGGAAGGTGTGGAATAGAACTTGTATTTTATAGGATAACATCCATAGAATTTAATAATTTTTACTGGAACTAAAATGTTCACTGTGAGCTGACATACGGTGGTTTGAAGTTGAAGTGACCATTATTTTCGTACCAAATCCATCGCGTCCAATATAACTGTGATAACTTTTATGCCGGGATAGTGTACTCCTTATGGATTCCATTTCATTGTTGTTATTCTCAAATTCTTCTAATCCATTTTCATTTTCAGTTATTGACAAAAGTCGAAAAACTAATGTACCATTTGCTGACGAAGGTGGTATTCCCATGTATGAATCCATCGATCCAGAAAATGATTCCGTTATCGATCCGCTATATTCTAAGGTATGTTAGAGAGCTGAGTTTCCTGGAGTTCAGAAAGTGATGTGAAATATAACATGTTTTCAAGTTAGGAGATGTGACATCTGTTCGTCATGAGAGGAAATATGACTACCCGATATTTTCTGGACGGAAACTATCTGCCGTGCCGTTGACACATGACGACGTAGTTTATCAGAGTGCGTCACAGATTTATACAATCGGAGGAAGTGAGGATCCGTACAGGTGCATAGCTCCTACTACTTCTTATCATTTTATAAATTTCACCTAGTAAATTTCAACTTTTTTGAACAAGTCATCTTTCTTTATGTCCAAGCTTTCCCATCTAGTTCAATTACATCTGAGCCACGTCGTAATGGTATTGGAGCCGATCGAGACGAAGACAGCAGTGGAATCTACGATCCTGGATATGCAAAATTGAAACCCGAACTATCCAAGTCGGTACGATACAAGGAGTGCATCCAACGAACAGAGCGAGAGGCTGATCAGTTGTACTCTAAAGTGAGGAAACTATTTTCTTTCATTATCATTTACAATTGATCGCGTTTCTTCCAACAACTTACCACTAATGAAAGGTTTCCGAAGATACTGCGAACCAGTATACCCGGCTACTGGGAAATACTGCATTGTAGATAAGGCGTTCTCCACTTGGAGTCACCGATGAAGTCGCATCAAGGCCTGGTCCATCACGAGTTACTATGGACGATATTATAGAGGGAGGCTTGGAAATGGAAGTGCCACAAAAGCTGTCACAGGTTCGTAAGGTTCGTATATACACACATATATATGCATGTATGTATACATCACCTTTATCACCTGTGGTCCCGTTGATTGTCGAGTGACTCGAGCGGACTCCAGTAAACCTTCCATTTTTCCCTCTCGTGTGCAAGAGTAGCCCAGTGGTTCTGCTCGCTCTAGGGGCTCGTCGAGCATCATATCTTTCTTCAAGGCTCTTTGTGAAGAACTCTGACCATTGGGTCGGTGGTCTTCCTGCAGTACGTTTGACATCCCGAGGAATCCAGTCACTAACGGCTCTTGTCCATAGGCTGTCCTTCATACACATTACGTGTCCGGCCCACCCTATCTTCGACTGTTTGGCGTACAGAACTGCATCTTTAATTCTTGATCGTTGACGCAGGTCGGAGCTTCGGATCCCTTCTCTTGCTTGCGCGACACGGGGTACTCCTAGCATCGTCCTTTCGACTGCGCGTTCAATAACGCTGAGTGATTTTTCATCCTGTTTACGCTGCGGCCAGGTTTCTGACGCTTATGTTAACTTATGAAGTACCGTTGAGTCGAAAGGGTGGGCGTGGAGTGCGGTGTTCTTTGTTCTCATCACTTCTCTCTCGATGCTCTTGCTGCTTGTTTCATTCTGCTCAACTCTGGAGCTAAGTCGTTCATCATGCTGATTTCCCGACCTAGATAGACATAACTGGAGCATTTGGAGATATTCGTTCCGTTGAGCGTGAATGGGGCATGCGAAACCAATCCGTTCCTCATCAACATCGTTTTTGTGAGATTTAGTCGAAGTTCGAACGAAGCAGCGAATGTATACATACAAATGTATATATACATATGTATATGTATAAATGCATGTATATATCTACATATGCAATCAGACCAAAAAGTGGTATTCTCAAGGAGTGAATGTGAGCGGAAATACCTTTTACGGTAGTCTTAATGTGTTTACAATTCCATGCAGGAGTTCTGTTGTATTTTTTCAGAATGGGGATGGTGAATCGATGTCCAGTCGCGAGCCATCATACCGTTACATCACAGTTCGCGAAAACGCAGATGTCGTTCGCGAAAGGTTGCGGCAACAAGGACAGTTGACTCCACCTGCAAGGGAACACTACTATTCTGTCATTGGAAACGAATATGAGACTGTGTGTCACCATAACTCTGAAGTTGTTATAGCTCATTTAAATATTTTTTTTGAATGCGTATTAGTGGTATTTATAGGTAAGTGATGCGCCGAATCCTGCTTATAGTACTGTGCGATTACCATCAAATCATGGTAAGTTAGTGCTGAACAAGCAATATGTTACCCATCAACATGATTTAGTATTTCAGGCATTAGTTCTTTAAACGTAAGTACGGCTACTCATCAGGTGGAGTTCGTCCCACCGCCTCCAACATCACCTATTCCGGATCGAACACCGAACTCTGCAGACACGGAGATTGCACCTTCATCCTCAAGTTCACATTCAGGCGAAGTCAAAAATCCTGTATATTCTGTGTTATCTAGACCAAGAGTTACATCATCGGCTACGTGTACTTCGTCACATGGACTTTCTCCTGAAACTACCGGATCATTGTCTGGAGGTGACAACAAATATTCGGAATTTGATAGTCAACTAATTTTTGTTAAACAAAATTACAGGAATGAAAACTCATGCTTGCTTATCAACCGCTGCACATGGTTGGAACATAGCATCAATGAAAACGGCAACTTCATTTGCTGGTTTAGATCTAACGTATACACCATCAACAAGCCATAACTCTGGTAATAATAGAAGCATTATGGGTACAAAAGACAAAGGTTTGTTACCGATTCAATGGTTTTTTTTATTTTGATGGAACGAGAACAACCTGGTCTTTCATTATCAGTAAACACTTTGGGCAATCCCGAGATCGGTTATTACCAAGTTTTCCAGAAATCCAACTGAAACTAGGGTTGGCTTTTACTGATTGCCAGGTAGATAGAGACTTATTCATACTCTAGACGATCATGTGATGTTTCTCACAATACCTCTATCTTTAACCATCCGTTGTTTAATAGACCTACTGCGCGACATCTTTCGCTCTGACTACGTTAAAGGAAAAACGAAATGTTGAATATCAAACGTTTATATCCAGAAAGAATGTTCTGCAAGTGTTTTTACTTTTTAAAGCAATCAGCGAGTTTATGCAGCGTCCACTATTGCCGTACGGGGAGACCATTTATAGCCGGAGAGTTACTGAAGAAAGAGAACGAATTGTGGAGAATAACAGAACTCGCTATAACAAGTTAGCTTTTGCCTTTTTTTGGTTACTTCCTGATTCTCAATAGTCTTCCATTTCAGAATTTCTTTTTCTCCTGGTCTTGCTCGTTCACTGAGCTTAGAACCAACATTGTCAACCGGAGTATCAGGTGAAGCAAATTGAATTTTGTAGCACTATTTACTTGTGTTGTAGTTGAATTTGAGTCCTGTTAAGTGGTTTAACATCTATTTTGTACTTTTTTCCTGAAGTTCTGTCGTTAGTTTTTACGAAAATGCACTGCCAGTGTCCGCTTTCATGACTACTTTGAGGTTGAAATCCACATTTTAGGGTTTTCAAAGTATTGCATGATAAAACCAGCTAGTTTTTATAGACAATCTTTTAGGGGATTCTCATAACCTTTCACTGTTACCTGTTTACAATGTAGAAATTACACATATTGACCAGTGCAGGGAAAATGGTGGACCGAGTGCATACGATATTATATCGGGTAAGGTTTTTTTTCTTCGATGTTTGATGTTCAGTAGGACATTTTATCTATTTTAAGACCATAAAATTCCTTCAGGGCGGCGATATCGCAGTTTGAGCACTTCCAAAACGTCGTCTAACGGACAAAATTGTAATGATGAAGCGGCTATATTAAGTCGCTCAGCAGATTGTGTGAGTAGTTTTATATGTGAAAGAAGAATAAAGCTGTCGGTGTTGATCAATCCCCGAGGAATGCGCCATGCAGTTGACTTCATTAAACATCATTGGGGGTGATTGAATTCATAGCTGGGCTCTACAATGACTCGCGATGGCTTACCGATGTATAGAGCCTGCGCTGCTATCCACCCAGACAAGTCTGATACCAATTTGCCAATCCCGAAGAGATGGAGATGCTTCCGACCACTGTGCCACACACGCCCTTGTTTTTTATATGTAGCCCATTACATTCTGTCATGTGACAAAAAATAAACTTGACCTGCTGAAAATGTGGAGCAAATTATCCAACATTACCGGTGGTCAGTGGAGGCTTCTAGTTTTTACACAGCGTTTCTTCTAGGGCCAATTTCGTTATAGAATACTGTCCACTTAGACTAATGAGTGCATTTGTTAAAATTGATGTGATTTAAATGTAAGCAAGCTGTTTTTCTGTAGACGTAGTCATTTCAGTTGAACTGTCTGGAATACCAGATTTCAACTGTACGTATAGTCACAATCTTAATCGTTTTATTTACTGCCTACTCTTTTTGATGGCACGGTATATTTCGAAATATAACTTTAATGATGCTGAGATATTTGCAAAACTCCGGATCGCAAGTGTATGTATGTACGTGTAGTATTTTTTGAAACAGGTGTCGCAGAGTGAATCCAACTCAGCAATTTGCCATAAAGATTCTTCCAACGTCGGTGTTGAAGGGAAAAAAAATTGCAAAGGTTTTTTTTTAACCCTATTTTCTTTCTAAATACATTTGGTTCTTCCTTCTGTGGGAAAAATACCACGGATGAGTTGTTTCAGTTTGTTGTCTTCGTACTGTTTTAGAATATTTGGATGCCGTTCACTCAAATCCATCATCGTGTCGTGGCAGATACACTTTGCCAATACGAACGGTTAACGAAAGATTACAGAGGTTGAATCAGCGGTTGAAACCACACCGGAAAGAAATACCCCGGAACGGATCGCTAAAGGAGGAAAGGTGTGTTGGCTGTTTATATAAAGTCTGGTTTCACTCAGTTGTTTTAGAGAGGCATCACTCCAAATCCACGCACCGTCCCGAAAATCAAGAGATCAAGCGACTACGAGACCTTGGAAAGACGAAACCGAAGGTATATGCCAGTGTAAATATTTCTGATCGGCTGTAAAGCTTTTTTTTCAGAAGAAAAACGTCTTCGCCTTGGTACTATATATACTGCAAAAGATTACATTAGTACGATTGATTTGGGAACAGAGCGACCTTGGCCTATGTCCTGTGAGATATTACGGATAACGTTTGAGATATAACTTCGAAATTCAAGCCTCTCTTCTTGAGAATATCTATTTTAGGTTCTCAATCACACGGTATGACGGCGCAAGACTCAGTTCGTGCGTTCTCCGATGAACAGTTGGAAAACAATTTGGCTAAAACTGTATGCGATGAGGTATGTTTAGGGGTGGTGGAAAACGTCGAGTTTGTTAGGGATGTAGAAAAAATTCCATTGTAGTTTGTATATTCTGAAGTTGGTGCATTTTCCAGGGTTGAATTCGGCAGATGCTTATGATTATTTTATTTCGGGTCTCGAAAATATTTTATGTTAGCCTCTGTTCATACCCTATTTGGTTCTGCTCAGTTATTGTGGATTTCGTTTCACTGCAGGTGATTTTGGTTAATGCTTAGTAGTTGTGTGCAGTACCTTAATACTGAATCACATTAGCAGACGTGTACGTCTTCAGCGTGCAAAATACTGTCTCGCATTAATATGTGAATGTTTAAACATTCCCTTTCCATATACAGTGAAAACATGGATTTTCTTTGACTGTGTGACTTAAAGGATAAAAGATAAGGCTCTCAGCGTAGATCAATCCATAAGGAATGCGCCATGCATAGGCTTCATTAAGCATCGTTTGGAGATGATAGAATGCATATCTGGTCTTTACAATAACTCGCGATGGCTCACCGATGTATCCAGCCAGCCCTGTTATTTCCCAGACAAATCTGGTACCAATTTGCCGACCTCGGGGGGGGGGGGGGGGGGGGGGGGGGGGGGGGCGAGGGGTGGAAGGCTTGAGGGGCCAGGGCAGCTGGGATCGATTCCACGTGCGTGTCGCTTCCAACCACTGCTTCACATGCGCCTCCTGTGTGAGTCTTAGTGATTAGGAAATCGAAAATCAACTACAACTGAAAAAAGTTTTATATTCGTTCTATATGAAAAGAAATTTTCTACTCGTTTCCTTCCTTATAAGTTTCTGCGAACGCAAGGAAGTTCCATAAGCGAAATATGAACATGATTTAATACGCTGAGGTAATGCGTTAGTTACTGGACAGGTAGTGGCATTTTATGATTTTTATGCGCAGTTCCGATTAGTATTACTTCCTGTCATGTCAGGTGGTAATGTTGTAGAATGTTGAATAACTGGGTAACATGTTGTAGTACATTTGTTTCGAATCTTTCTTTCTGCATCCTGTGCCCTATACCGTTAATTGAAATCGTTAAGTTCAGATATCACCGGTCACGTTCATCTGGAACTTAAGCGAGTCGGACGAGGACGGCAGTTTGTATGGGGACTCAGAGACTGTATGTTATTGTCATAGTCATTCTACTAGAAGTAATGTCGTTGAACATAACAAAGCTGTAATGGAATACATCCATTGGGGCCGGATTCCAGATGAATGCTCATGAAGCTGCAATGCCGCAATTGCTACTATTTAGTTTATTTTTTTTTTACTAATTTGCAACAGTTCTTACTAATTTGTAATCACATTGGCTCTAAGCTCCTACGTAGTCAAGTGTTTTTTACAAATTTATTTCGATCTCGCATGCTTTTTCCAGTGCTCTTTATGAATGAAAGCACTCAATGTCATCATTTTCCTATCTCCGGGTCTAGCTCAATAATTTATTGTCGTTTCACTTCATTAGTTTTCTTTTTTATTTATTTCCCACAACTGGACATGTACTTTCATCCTTTCATCCGAGAATGCAATAGTGGTTTAATGTGCAAAATTACAATTCTAACCACATATTAGGAACGCTTATTCTCAACTGTGCTCCTAAGCAGAATAAAACAAAAGTGAAGAGTAGGATGAATTTCAGTTCAAATCTAGGAATTCTAGAAATATCACAGTGGACAAGACTTGAGTGATGGTGGTGGTACCAAATTGGTCGTATTCAAGTATACACCATACTGTTGGGTGAACTTCGTGGAAAAGTCATAAGAGGGAAAGAAAAAAAGAACATAGATAGAAGAAAAAAAATGACAGCACAGTTCATGAATTCGTCTGACGCTAATAATGGCTGAATAATTAACAACAAATTAGATGAGTATTAGTGAAATACCAGTTTGAGAAGGAAAGAAGCGACGACGGGAGCGAGATGGAGACGAGTGTTAGGAATATTAGTATGGTTAAAGAAAAATAAATAATCGTATTAGTATGTCTTAAAAGAAAGGAACGATGTGATTAATATGTGACTTTCCTACCAGATCCAACATCCAGCGATAGTTTCACTGATAGTGATTCCATTGCTGTTGTTGCTGTTGTGGTTGAGGTTGCGGGCCTTGTTGCTGCATCATTGTGTAAGGTGGTGGGTTACCACTCATGTTCTGAATACCAGTCATTTGTTGATTGTGCATTCCTGGTTGTATTCCAGGCATCATGTCGACACCTAAAATCATACATCAACTATATTATATCTCTTAAAGGATGAAAGATTTCGGCATTGAACAATCCCTGAGGGATGCGCCAATCATTTGACTACATTAAGCATCGTTGGAGGTGATTGAACGCACATCTGGCCTTTACAATGATTCGCGGTGGCCTATCGATGTATCGAGCCAGTGCTGCTATCCTTCCAGACAAGTCTGGTACCAATTTACCGACCCTAGAGGGATGGAAGGATTGATGAGCCTAAGGCGCCGGGATCGGTCCCATGCGTGTATTGCAGGGCGCCTCCGACCACTGCGTCACACGCGGCCTTATTATATACTTTATCTTTTTAAAATTATATGGTGACTGTGACCAAAAGAAACAAAACATTATGCTTGTTCTATTGGTGGTAAAATTTTGCAAAAAAACCTATCTGCGTTGTATTTTTCAACAATGGATAGGATAAATACCATTGATATCCTGTCCACCTTGATGTTATGAGGTACTACAGAAATCATTTAGAAGTGACTAGTTGGAAATGTTGGAAAAGGAAAAAAAACTTCACCTCCAGGCTGTTGAATCATTCCTTGAGGATGCTGTTGAAACGTTTGAGGCATCTGCTGTCTCATCATCATTGGTTGGCCTTGTAACATTCCTTTAAAAACTTGATTTATGACCGTATTTACTTTGTTACATGACACTTGAATGGCCCGTCCTCACCGGTTGTGCGGGCCCAGCGTTATCTCCATTTTTCGGAGATTTGCTGGTTAAGCCGTTATGGTTCTCTGGAATCCCAAGGTCAGCCTGGCCAAAGTCTGCCCCAGGTCTTCACCACAACAGTCAGTCGCAGCCCTTGTGGATCAGAGGAAGATTTGCCACCATGCGACTTTGATACCAGGACGGTCGTGGACCCTGGTATTGGTTTACTCTTAGCTAAGCTTCCTAATGGAAACGTCGGACTCCCAGTGCTTGGAAGACTACCAGACGTGAACCCCCACTGTACATCGCAGTATGACACCCAGAAACACCTCACAGCCACGATGAGGCGGTAAACCGTTGGGAGGATTTGCCGCTACAGCAAAATTTGATTTGTTACACAAAAACAGCATTTCTTTTCACGTTAGCCGCGTTGCACGTGGTTTGTATACAAGTATATTCCCGCATTCTAATCTGCAGGGAAACAATGAATAAAATGTTGAGAATAAAAGAATAGATCCAGGTAAGCGCATACCCATGTTCTGGTGTTGGAACTGCTGAGCACCTTGCATGATTGCCATCTGCTGTTGTCCAGAGACAGGCATAGATGCCGGCATTGGTTGACTCTGGAGTAATACCACCTTCAGTAAGAAAACAAGATACTTGCAATTGGTAACAGTATTCCACTTTTGAAAGGATAGGTTTGAGTACATTAAGAACACTACCGCAAATATGGGCTGCTGTTGATACTGCTGTTGTGGTTGATTCATCATTCCACCAACTATATCCACTGAAAAGCACTGCAGGAAGATCACAAAAATTTCAAAACACAATAGAACTTGCTAATATACTGGAATCCTGATATATTATATATATATATATATATATATATACATATACATATATATAGCGAGAGAGAGAGAGAGACGTCTTCGAAACCTTTGCAAGAGAAGATCTAAACAAAACTGACTTGACTGCGGGATCATGTGCTGTGGCTGCATAGGCTGGTGAAACTCTCCTCCGGAAAACATTGTCTGACTGTTAGTGTTCATCTGCTAAAGAACAGCGAAGAAAAATTACGAACAAGAATAGCGAAAATTAGCAAAAAGTAGCGAAAGTTAGTACCTGCTGCCCTCCCATGCGTAGCCTTTTATTTACGGGCTCTGAATCTAACTGCTGATTTATTGCTTGGTTTACCTAAGCGTAGGCAATGGACGAAATTTCTCGTTAAGGCAACAATTACAACTACTGCAGATCTTACTTGAGGATTGGTTGCCTGCTGAGTTTGATCGTCCACGATATTCATAGCCAGAGATTTCTTGATATCTGCATCGGGAAGCGACTCTCGTTTTGGATACGGTATTTCAAACTTGTAAAATACGTCTTCTGTTGGTTTCGGATCCATCTGTAAAGCTTGAAATTCACTTATTTACTTGGATACTTGGATGGGCCGTTCTCACTAGTTGTGGGGGGCTCAACACATCCTCAATTTTTCGGAGCTTTGCTGGCTCAGCCTCGCCAAGGTCCGCTCCAAACCGTCATCACCACAGGCAGTCGCCACCAATATGGATCAGTGGGAGATTTGCCACCATCCGACTAGTTTGATACCAGGGCGGTGGTGGATCCTGGTATTGATATACTCTTGGCTGGGCTTCCTGATAGAAACGCTAGAGACCCTACTGTGAGGATGAATCTTCCCACTGTACATCGCAGTCCAACACCCAGAAACACCTCCCAGCCACGATGAGGAGGTAAGCCGTTGGGAGAAAGTTTAGAATACTCAAGTATTAATCGGCATAGAAAACAATGTATGTGGAAATAGAAAGAAAATCATTTGCCTTGAAGTATGGCTCTTCCATAGCATCTTTACATGATATCCGTTTATTTGGATCCATTGTCAAGAGCTTCACTAACAGCTTAAACTGCGGTGAGTCGGATTCTATTTTATGCTTCTCCATATAACGTGTCATACTGCAGTTAGGAAATGCCGTCCTAAAAACAGATACATCCCAAAAATAAGTACAGAATTGATTTGAAAAATCAAGCAAAGCTAGATGACTAAACCGCTTACTGTGAAGATTTGATGTCCGTTTGAAGCTTGTGATAGTCTGGCATCTTCTTAAAATCGTTCCATTCACTTTCTTGTGGATAACCCATAACAGTAAAGATCCTGAAAGCCCTTCATACAGAACTAAAACGAAATGTGAAGGAATAGAGTACCTCAATTTTCATGACAGAAAACCATAATTAAATGCGTATAACTCGCCTTTTAAGTTGATCGTAGTGGTACGGACTTTGCGCCTTTATATCTTCTTCCTTACAGAAGAACACAGGTTCAGCTGTGAGTAGCTCAGCGAATATGCATCCTATTGCCCAGACATCTATAGCCTGGAAAGCGGAAGAACTACTATGTACGACTAACTTGCAAATAATCTAGATCTTTGTGAACGGTCAGAATTCCGGTGTCGAACCTCGCTTTCGAAAGTCTCATTTTGCGGAGATATTCTAACACCGAAATCATGTTTCAACCACTATCCCACAATAACTCTAAGATAGCATCATCTAAGTAAGTGTCTACAAGTAAGAGAACAACGTAGCACGAGGCCCTTCCACACCAACCTTAGTGTAGTGCTTCGCCCCCAAGAGCAATTCGGGTGCTCGGTACCAGAATGTCACGACAACAGGATCCAACTCAGCAAGAGGTTTCAGTGGATTGTAAAAAATACGGGCGAATCCCATGTCGGCAATCTTCACTCTGAAAACGGGAGTTCAACATCGTCACTCGTGTTATCTCTAAACGATCGCACCTGCCACGATGAACTCCTGGAGCGTCGCCCATCACAAGAATGTTGGCAGGCTTGAGATCGCGATGAAGTACCCAATTGGAATGCAGATAATGTATTCCTATAATGACAAAACCACAGTCTACTGCAATCTTTAAAAATGTATCACATGCGGAACACATTTCTGTGAAAGCGTCAAATAAATGAGAGAAAACGATGGCTGTGACAAAACACGAACGACGTTGGAAGTAGTTGTTATAGCTCTTTTATTTACTCCTTGTAACAATTTTTCATGGCAGAGTATGTGTGATATAAACACAATGCAGCTGAGATATTTGCAAAACCCTGGGCCGCAGATGTCTCCAACGAAGGCTCTATTACGCTTTCGGGGTGCTAACGCGTTCATTACCATACCATGTGCGTCCTTCGTTCCGCCTTTCTATCAGCGCTAGTATTCTATCCACCAGTGCGATCAGCGATCACCAGTCAATGGGAATGATCTTCGGTATCGGAACTTGCGGTCCGGAATTTTGTAAATATTTCAGTACTATTATGGCTGCACCAAACATGGTACTCTACCATGAAAAATTGTAATAGACAGTGAATAAAAAAAAGTTAACACTGTGATTCCGACTAGAGCCTCAGCTTAATTTGTTTCAATGCCGATTTGGGTTCACAGATCAATCTCTTTGACGGCTAGTTGCTGATAACACCTATAAGTCAATAACACGATTGAGAAAAAGGTGAAACGAAGGACACGGAGAGTTGTGGTGAACGTGATAGCCTCGGGAACGGTAATAGCGAGTTCGATCCCCACCGCATACACTTGCGGTCCGGAGTTTTGGAAATACCTCAGCATCTCAATAGTGGCATTTCACATAATTCCGCGGCGTAAAAAAGTACAGTAGGCAGTGAGTAAGAAGTGGAGACATTGTGATTTGTACCACAGTTTCAGCTTAACTAGACTGAATGCCGATTTGTGCTCCGCAGATCAATCCTGTTGACGGGTAGCTGCTGATCGCACCTATAGGTCAATGATACGATTGACGGAAAGGCGAAACGACTGACACGCAGAGTGTGGTGGTGAACGCGATAGCTTCGGGAACGGTAATAGCGAGTTCGATCCCCACCGCAAACACTTGCGGTCCGGAGTTTTGAAAATATCTCAGCATCTCTGTAGTTGCAATTCACATAATACCCTACCGTAAAAAAAGTACAGTAGGCAGTGAATAATTACACCACAGCTTCATTTGTGATCCCCAGATCAATCCCGTTGACGGCTGATCGCTATCAATAGCACCTATAGGTCAATAAGACGGTTGAGAGAAAGGCAAAACGAAGGACGCGCAGGGTGTGGTGATGAACGCGGTAGGTCCCGGAAAGACTAGTAGTGTGTTCGGTCCCACCGCAGACACTTTCGGCATGTAGTTTTGCAAACATCTCAGCATCGTTGTGGTTGTAGTTATTGTGTTGCAAAGTGTTACGAAAGTGCACATGTGAAAACTTAAAAAGACTCAAAATTTTTGTGAAACGGGCAATCCTCACTCATAGATAAACTCGGACAACTTCGAATTTACTCACCGTCCAGAATTTGATATAAAATGCTTTTCACCATTCCCTTTGGGACCATCACAGGCATCTTTTTCGCCTTTGCACCGCGATGATATTTGATAATATGCCATAAATCGTGTTCGGCATAATCGAGAAGGAGCCATACCTACAAGAAAAGGATAACAGACATATTAATAGAAGATTGATAAACACGACAACTGCCTCACCTTTTTCTCATTGGTTAGAAACACACGTTGCAAACAGATGAGGTTCGGGTGCCTGAAAATCATGCAGAATTCGAAATTAAAAATTCAGTCACATTGTAATGTTGTTTAAATATTAACTGTAAACAACTTAAAGCTCTGAAGAGAGATGTCTTTGTCAAATATCCAATCCGAAACAACTGCGAACGAGTTCGACCTGGATACAACTAGATCGAGCTTTCACATTAGAGTGGTGCTCTTAAACACTTGCTATCATTCATTGTTACTACACATCATGTCATAAACTATTCTTACCAACATCAGATTCACTACGGAAAATTAGTAAGTGTAACCCATTTGTTCTTCATGTCAACATTATAGTCAGGCTTATTTTATCTATAACCAAAAGAAGAAGTATAAACTACAAGGTGATTTTGGTATATCAAAACAGAATACTTGGAAGTTCAACACACATTCATTTTGCGGGCTTAAATGGATTATAACGCGCTCACTTCCAAATGATCAGTACAAAGATTGGCTGTGCCTCAAGACGATATATAGTGAGTAATTTATGCAAGTTATTGTTAGCTTCTCAGCTCACTGCTTAGGTTTAAATGAAATCAGAGAAACATTGGCTTCACAAGGGCTTTTTCCATCACTGACAACATACTCAGTTGGTTCGTATAAAAAAATTAATAGAAGGCTGACTAAGTGATCGGATAGCACAGTGGTAGTGATCCCGATCATTACGAGCGCGGTGGTGGTTCGAACACACCTCGGTCCCATTACGCCTCTCATCCCCTCGAGGTTGGGAAATCGGTACCGTACGTGCCCGTCGAAAAAACTACTCTGCGCAATTTGAGTGGGAACTCGCTAGCTCCGCTATCTCAAGACTCCAAAGGGAATCGACTCGACCAGCATTCAACAATATTCAAGACTAAATGCAAATCCTTAAGCAGCAGCCGGGTCTACACGTAAAAGTTGGAAGACCTTTGTGGATGATGAGCGCGAGGAGACTCGTCGAACGTGAGAAGTGCTGGGATCCGCAGAGTAGATGCACGTAACGGTCCGTATAAAATAAATAAAAGTAAACGTTGACGACATTCTACTCCATACCTTAAACGACCGCCATAGCTGTTACCTCAACGCATCGCCGCGCCTCTACATCTGCTTCAGCTATGCTTTCAGGTTGCAAACTCATACATTTCTGTTCTTGTTGAGGGTTACATAGCACGTGAAATTCTATTTTAACCTTGATATTAAGGGTATCCACATTATTTATGGAGGAGATCAGTACAATTGTGCATCATGTATTAGCACAAAAACTTTCTATTTGGCCAACTGACATTTTAATCGATGTAAGCAAGTATCATAACTATCTGCGTAGCTGAGTGACCTTGGTAGTCGATATCATGTTAAAAATAGATTGGAAATCAATAAAAAGGAATCGCAACGAATAATGAAATGAGTTGAACACCGTAATGCACTCACTTTAACTCCCTCAGTAAGGCGATCTCTCTGCAGGCGGACATTGAGAATCCTTGACCTTCGATTAGTTTCAACGCGTATTCCTTAGCCGGATATTTGGCTGATGGCACTTTTGGCTGTGCTTTGAACACATGACCGTATGTACCACGACCAACCTGAATGCATAGGTTGCTGATGACGAAATTAGAAAGCAATCTTGTTCTTGAGAATATTTCTCAATTATTATGACCCTTTAGAAGATTCAAATTTGACATCGTTGAAGTCGAATATGGTCATCGAAAAATTTATACAACTGTTCAGTACTAAGTCAATTACTAATCCCACTAAATTTCACGTAATACATTCATTTGAGGAGTGCGTGTAGCGCAGTGGTCGAAGGTGCCCTGCAATACACATGGGATCGATCTCTGCGCCCCAGGCCCACCAAGCCTTCCAATCCCTCATGGGTGAGCAAGTTTGGTATCAGACTTGTCTGGGAGGATAGCAGTACAAGCTCGATGCATCTGTAGGCCACCGTGAGTCATTGTAAAGACCAGATATTCATTTAATCACCTCCAACGATGCTCGATGAGGACGAATGCATACAGCATCCCTCAAAGATAGATCAACGGCGAGAGCTTTTTTTAAATATTCATTTGAACGTTTTAAAGGAAGGTCCGCAATGGCTGATGTCAATAAATGTAAATTTTACCAACCAGAGCTTGGTGAATAGGGTGCCAATGTTATTTTTTAAGTGATGAAGCTTCGTTTCATTTCCGAAAGAAATTCGGGATGAGAACGTATTCGTGCAAACCTTGTGGCCATCGTAGTAAAATAAGTCATCGACATTTTCACGAGTTCGAGCAAGTTCCTGCTTAAATGCGTGATCGATCATACCCCGGGATAATGCAGCTTACTGTTTTGTATGGCCCATAATGCGAAGCATCTAAAGCGCTAGTTATTAGATAAAATAACATAAGGAAAGTAAAAACAGACGACCACGATCGACATGAACGGATATGTGTAAGATATATCTCAGTATGCTGCATATAAATATATTGGATCATTGTCGCGGATATCAGCGTGTCGCTAGAATCATCGAAAAACATTGGCTAGCCGAAAAAAATTAGTGGTAATAAAAATTCGAGGAAACTCTCAATGAAACTGACAAATTTTGCTCATCTTGAAACATCTATATGAGCTGTTCACTTCGGAACACAAGTATGTTGAGCCAGAGAAGAGCAGTATGGAGTATTTCAACTCCATACAATGGCTGTCGACTCCACACAGTGGACGGAGAGCGCACACAGACGTTAGTGAACGCTTGCCCGCCCCCCACGAAGTGCAGGTCGCCCACATGTTGAGTGTTGAGGCCACGGCCGCCACACAATTCCTATTCACTTGTTACAGCTGGGATTCGAGACAATTTCGAGTTAATCGAAGTCCGTCTAAGGGTTCAAGGTGTATGTGATCAGATTTTAAGTCGATTGGTTTGTCAGTCCCAAAACTGGGTAGTACTTTTGCTAGAGAGAGGATTACTGGTTGTGACTGTACAGATCATTGCACTGAAGCAGTATATATCTAAATCACAGAGAGATAGCATTCTGACTATGCCGTGATTTCCAGTGTATTGATGTGATGTTGAGCCAATGTGCTTTGTTATATTTAAATTTTTAATATTGAAATTAGAAAGTCAACGACACAAAATGAAAAAGGAAGAGAATTATCCTATACTAAATGGGTGGAATGTCGTTATATGGCAATGTATGGCATATTGAATAGCGGTGATAAAGCAACATCTGTCCTTCAGAAAAGGCACCGCCGCGTGAAGTTCTCCATTCGATCGGTCTTCACTCCCCTGGATTAGACCACAAGCCAATAGCGACCAACCGTAAACCATCGACTCGGATCAATGCTGTTCCGAAGAAGACGAAGACGTCGAGACGTTGGTCGAATAAAACTTCTCTACCAACATTGTGCTAGCTTAATAATAGAAGATAAAGGAAGAAATAATTATTTAAATTTTTAGTGCGTTTATCATCACAACGTTGCGGGTTTGAATGATTGTGAAATGTGATGTGTGACAAATTTGTGTAAACCACAAGGATAAATGGCAAAAGGCATTGATCAATCCATGAGGGATGCACCGTGCATTCGACTTCATTAAACATCGTTTTAAGGTGATTGAATGCCTATCTGGCCTTTACAATGACTAGCGATGGCCTAACGATATATAGAGCTAGTGCTGCTATCCTCCTAGACAAGTCTGCTACCAATTTGGCGACCCCGAAGTGATGGAAGGCTTGGTGAGCCATGGGCGCAGAGATCGATCCCATGTGTATTGCGTGTATTGCAGGGCGCATCCGACCACTGTTTCACACGCTCCCGCTGCAAAACCATAGCTTGCTAATTTCAAGATGTGTAGATCATCACTATTTCTTCCGGTTTCTACTTGAATTTTTATTTTTACAATAAAATTCAGCATGTTTTTTACACACAAAAGTGAACTGGTTACACCTATAGTGCTTATCTGTCGGTAGCTTTCATTCTATTCGTCTCCATAAAAACAGTTTCCAGAATGTTTTATTTATTTTAATCCTTGTAAGAGTAGTATATATTTGGGGCGACAGTAATATTACCGGTCATCTTCATTTTCTTGCTTCGGTTCCATACATACTTTTGCACTCCTTGAACAATTCGTTTGCTCGGCTTAGTTTTTTTTCAACTCTATTTTGTTTTTCTTTTTGATTTCTTTTCCATACAGGTACAGGATTTGTGATTAGGAAATGGAAGCAAGGTTTTCTTCGGTTCTATTAAGAATTCGCGAGAAAAACCATCCACTGGTTCATGACTTACCTAATCGCCGTAAGACTTCGGATGTGAGTGTGCTGTCAGATGTAATCTGACCGAGGGTATGAAATTTCACCCTTGGATCGAAGCAGTTTTCATATGAACACAATAAATTAAAGAAGTCTTTCGGGATTTCATAAATTCTTGAATTGGATTCGTTTCCTCGCATTCATCACTTCTGACGGACTTGGAATTTTTCGCATGTGGGTTCCGCTATTGCCTAAGCATTATCGTCTTCTTTATAAATTTCGCTGAATGTTTGTCGAGTTGATTCTGTCTAGTAATCCTAAGACAGCCGTGCTAGGCCACCCCCTCGTCGATTGGAGAGGGCGGGCCGGTGTCAAACAAGTCTCGTATCATTTCTTAGATCCCAGACAGAAGACAGGATAGTTGAATCCGGAACGGCGTCGAACCAGCACCGTGACGCTGATGAACGGCAGCACTATCACTGCGTTACTCATTGTCGTGCTCTTTTTTTTCTCTTCTGAATAAAGAAACTTCGATATTTCTCAAAATAATTTTGGTACTCGAATCTTGAAAATCAGAACGACACACTTTAAATATTCATTATTCGACACCTAAATGGTACAAGTCATTTAATTATTCTTTTTCGCCTCCCTATGTCCAAAGCAGCTTATGTTAACACAGCAGAGTATAACGGATAAGATCAGCAGAAATCCTGAAAATAAAGCAATCTTTGATATGGCGAGTAATAACGATGACCTACAATTAAGTTATATTTTGCTAAAAAAAGCTGGGTTATAATTTATAATCTCAGACAATTTCCAACGACATAAATTTATTCCTCAACTAACTGCTGCTTGTAATTTCGCAAAATACTGCCTAAATAGAATAATCCTAGAAATACTGGTCAAATTTTTGTTATTGACAGATGGAAATGTCTAAAAAAATGAAGTAGGAAGGGAATGCCACTGAAACACCTCTTGTGCATAAATATTGGACAGCACTACTAATAGGCAGTCTAACAGGTGGTCGAATTTTGTTGTCGATCATAGCTTGCACCAGGTCTTTCGGAAATTTGCGTCGAATTCCAATCTGCAGTTTCAAAGTGGTATATGTCAGCTCAAAATAAACTTTATTAATCGGGACACAAACCATTAGAATCTACATGTGCGAACGGGAAACATCAAGTGTTGCCAATGAAGACCTAGTGGATTTAATCTTGCTTGGTAAAACTCTGGAGTTCTCGACACGAAGTTTCTGAAGGTAGTTTCTGCATGGTTTCTGAGACATTTCTCGTACAGAAATTTATCATCAAGACGCTTGAAGAAGTGGTAGTCGGTAGGGTAGACGTTTGAAGAGTATGGCGAATGAGCTAGAGTTTCGTAACTCAGGTCATTATATTTCTTCAGCGTCCCTAGTGCGACTTGTGACTGTACGTTATGGTGAAGAAAGATTGAACCTTTTCTTTTGACCAATTCCGAACCCAGGTCGATGAAGTTCCTGGTGAATCTCATCGATTTGCTGGACCGCTTTGTGCGGAGCTTCTTCACATTCATCAAATTCTTCAAAACTACCGTTTATATTATTATTCAGTCTTACGGAATGAAAAAAAAGAGCTTTGGAACAATATATGGTGCAGTTCAGCATTCAAAATAGAAAAAAAATGGAATCAAAAATCGGGAATTAATTTTCGAACAACCTAAGAAGATACCTTTATTGTCATATGTGACCAAACAAAGTGGATTTTAAGTAATTACGGCCAGGATCACGACTAAAATTTTGATAATCTGTACGACAATCGCTGGACAAGACTCGTTGGCGACTGGATCCCACGGGATGTCAAACGCACAGCACCAAGACCACCGATCCCATGGTCAAAGTGCTTCGCGAAGACTGTAGGAGAATGACATGTTGCTCAGCAATCCCTTAGAGTGAACAGAATTCACTGGGCTGCTCTTGCACTCGATGGAGAGAAATGGAATATTTACTGAAGCCCACTTGAGTCACTAAGCGACTAAAGGGACGAGCCGATAGGTGATTAAACAAAAACAACAACAAACAAAGCAACAAAAGAACAGCAACAAAAACGACATCAACAACAGCGACAACTTATACCAACTTACCATCAGCTCAATAAGATCAGGTTATAAGAATATACATATATATATATATGCAAAATCTTTTGCAAGTGTTCAAATTTTTGATATTTGTTCACATATGCTTTCACATATCTTTCAGACTTGGGAGATTGGGCAGCCGGTTAGTCACAATGTTCATGTGGCGTTCACAGGCGGCAATCAGTTTATTACAGCGTGTCAAGCCCAAAAAAACTATGATGCTTATAGTGAGCGGCGAGCTTAAAAAGCTCAGTTGGTTCTTATGCAATAGCGACGAGTCTATCAAAGTTAAAATTGACCAGCGAATCGTTAAGCATCGTGCGGAGTCACACCGGTTTCCATAGTGCGGTGACATAGCCCAGAACCTTAAAGGTGAGTAGCGCGAACACTCTCTGCCGTACACAATGAGCATTTGAAAACTTCATATTTAAAGGAAAGTACTGTACAACGCTGATGCAGAAGGTGTAAGATTATGTTTAAGTAACAAACTAACTTTAAGACGTCACATTTGAACTGGAGAATGAGAAAAAGACTGGGCAGAGACGGCCGGGTTGGTTACACGAATGGCAAAGATAGATCACAGCTTTGAAGGCCTTGCCAGATTTGTCGGTGCAGTAAAAATTATCCGTTACTTGATAACATTGTAACTTCCGAAGAAAAATTGATTCTTTCTAGCTTTCTACTATATTTTTCCTATGTTTGGACAAATATGGTTCAAGGAAACAGTTCCCAAAGGTTAATCTAACTGTTAGAACAATAGGAACCCATCCTGTTGAATGACAACGCCTGAGCTCATATGGCACGAAAACACTGTGATAGATGAAAATCTAACACAGTCATAAGACATCCTGCCAACAACAGACATTTTTACCTCTAAAAATACTCGCTGAGAAAGTCTTCGACAACCAAGTCGCTGCTTAGAAAGTCTCCGGAATGTCTACGATCTCCAAGAGCTTAGCAGACTGGCATAATAAAAATGATAAAACCTTGCTTTCAAGGGTGTGTCGTTGCCAAGGTTTCCATCTGAATAATAAAGCTTGCAGTGAACAGAGACATGGCGAATGAAGCCGTTTGTTCAAAATCGACGAAGAGCGACAACAAATTAACCGACATATTTAGAATCTGCACACTATGCAAGCACGGAGTATGTGCACGCATGCGGTAGGAACAAGTCCAGCCGGCGCTGTGCAAACGGGTAGCTCTGAGGTAATCCACATCTCAGGACAAACGGTAGCTTCTTTTAAATATTCGCCACCTCCAAATGCGTCTCGCAGCCTGAAAGAGGAAGAACACCATGGGGAAGAATTTTCTCAGCGAAAGTCCATGGATTGAAATTAGTATAAAGCAGTGGTGGAATGACCTCATGGAAACTATCACTGATCCCTGATCGTGTTCCGCGAATACGCAGTGTGGTGGTCGATATCACCTAGTGGTAACTCAGCTGCCTTTTCTGACGAATTTTCGGGACGGTTAGTTATTCCAACAGTGTAATTACTTTTTATTTATTGCCAATTCGTTTTTGGTGTCAGGGTGTGATGTGAAATATAACCGCAATCATGCTGAGATACGTCGTTTTCTTTCTCAGTAATCGAGAATTTGTTAAACAGCGTACGTTTACTTCCATACAATAACACACATACAACACAACCGTTGCTGACGTGTCGGCAGAATCGCCCTCTTCAGAGCCTTGAAGGGCATAGTGATATGCAATCTACTACGTCAAACGCTTCAATAACACATACAGAAAGAAGAGAATCTAAATGGTAGCCACACGGTCAACAGCTTCACGAAAAACCCACCGTTTTCTTTACGTGCCTTCCACTGAGGAAGAGCCGCTGATCAGCGTCGCATATGGTTGACGACTGCACCTCACCACATCACCATCAAATCGGTACGAAGATACGGGCCGAGATCACGTGTGATCTCGGGATCTTGTACATTTATAATCCAATGCCGAGGTTAATAAAAAGTCCATCTAGGGATGCTGAGATATTTGCAAAACTCCAGACCGCAGGGGTCCGGGGTGGGATCCAGGCCTTTCCCTGGAAATGATAATGGTGTGTCCGTTGCCCACCGGAGACACCTGCGCTACTGAGTTCTGCAAATATCTCAACATCAATGCGGTTATCTCAGCAGTCCCAACTTACGAAATCACAATGTTTAACTTCTATTTCCTGCTTATTCTTTTTTCATGGCGGAGTATGATATGAAATACAACGGTAGAGATGCTGAGATATGAGAAAAGCGCAAGACGCCGTGTGGTGTTTGAAAAGCCATTACCCTTAGCGGGGCTCACGTGCTATCCACCACGCCGACCGAAGTCGTTGTTTTGCCGTTCTGTCAGCATTGTTTTAATTATGCCGATGCAACCAGCAGTGCAATAACTTCCAAACCGTGGTCCAACTATTCAGATCATCGGCTCTGATGAAAATGAAGACTTGGAGACGCTAGTCGGATGAACCTAATTTATCAACCTCATCTAAGCTGAACAATTTAAACGTACGCTATTTATGCTATCATCAGTCTCTATTTCACTCCAGTGTGTGAGCACGACAAGCTCTATCCAGTCAATCTTTCCTCGTTTGACTTCATAAGGACTAAAAATATACCAAGCGCATGTAAGAACTAGAAATAAAAATGCCTTTAAAAGGATGAAACTTGCAAAAGAACCAGTCCGCACGAAACAAGAAATGATGAGGTTCAAACATTGGGTAACCTCCTGTTCTAGCATTAGTTGCAGTGTCAATCAGCACTACGGATACCAAAACAGTGGAGAGCAGATAGCTACAGTAGACACTGAAGAAGCGAGGGAGACATTGAAAGCTAGCATATACTACTGTCATACGATTGCTAACTTTTCGTAAAATTCGTCTATGATCATGTCGAACATGTACTGAATAAAATCGTACTGTGAAAGTAGGCGTGATTCCTCTATTGGCTTTTCACAGGTATATCTTTATCGTTGCGGATCACCTCAAACGATGATTAAATCACCTCCAGCAATAGTTAATGAAGTCGAATGCATGGCGCATCCATCAGGGATTGATCAACGCCGGTCCTTTTATCCTTCTACACACTTTACTTTTAAAAATATCACCCGGATCTCTTTCATTCACAAGATTGACTTGGCTCACAAATTCTTGCATCAACTGGTTCGTGGTCAAACGTGACTAATAGCTTTCAAAAATGCACTACCTGGTTCTAATACTAGTGGTCATTAGACTTGGAAGTCACTACTTTAAGAAGTTTCTCTTTTAAAAAAATTTACTACACGGATATTTCTAGCAATGCTTCAATAATGTGATGGTTTTAAAACAAATTGAGAAAATTAGATAAATTTTAGTATTAGGTAAAGAGGAATTGAAAAACTGTTCACCTCCAACACCGATCGCAGACCAGCAGCTGATTTCTACAGTTCTCTTTGGTTGAAACAACTTAGAATTGAGATCATTTCGTGTTCCCTCGTCCATTGAAAATGATTCGTTTAACCACACTAAAGGGTATGCGCCTGGTCGGATGACGCTGTAGGCCCTATAAATGGAACCTTTGAATAAAGAGTGAAAAACAAAGCATTTGCTGTTGATCTATCTTTGAAGCACGAGCTAGGCAGCCGATTTTTTCGTAGAGATGGTTGAATGTATATGTGGCCTGTATGACATTTTCTGTGGGCTACTCATGTATCACCTTAGTGCAGATGTCGTTCAGATAGGTCCAATTTGATTTCGTTTTTTTTTGCCAATTTGCTAACCTCGGAGGGATAGAAGTCATGGTGAGCTCGAGAGTCAAGATCGAACCAATGATCAAGTGTGTGTTGCAGGGCACCTCTAAGCACAGCACTAAACTTGACCCTAATGGAACTTTAATGTTTTTCGTATTTGATTCGAAGAGAACTCAACACCATTGTGTTAAAGGAAATGCTATAAAGGTGATTTTGAGTTAGTTTAAACCTTAGGATTAGTTCCCAGGATCGACTTTCTATTAACCTCGGCATTGGAATATGAATGCGTGGTTTTCATGTTCAGTAATCGCGAGGTTTTTAAACAGCATACATTTAGTTCCACAGAAAACGCAATACAATACAACACTAGCTGACGTTTCGGCAGTAACGTCTTTTTCAGAGCCTGGAAGGGTATAGTGATATACAATTTACTAGGCCAAACACTTCAATAACACTTACAAAAAGACGAAAAATTCTGTGGCAATTACATGATCAACAGCATCTCGAGAAACTCACCGCTTTTTTCGTGACTTTCAATGAGAAGGGTTAGAACAGCCGATTATAGTCGCATATGGTTGATGACTGCACCACCCCACAACAGAAATTGGTGCGAATATACAGGGTTCGCGTATGACCTCTAGGCCTTCATCCCTGTTATTCATTGTAGGCATTTTTGGCATTTATCCAAAAAGCCTCAAGAAGTTTTCGCGCTGGTGTTTTGGACTTCTGTGCAAGGATATTGACTTTTACTTCAAAAACATCTCCGCAATGCTTTTGTATCCTATGCGTGCCTAGTGGGGTGCTTCGCCTTAGTTTTCGTTTGCCATCTAGGTGTTCTTTTATACGGATACACAAAGGTCTGCCCGTTTCGCCAATATATTCATCTCCGCAATTATTATAAGGGATCAGGTATATCGTACCTGAACTCTTGCAATCACCGTCCCTGCCCTAAGGCCAAATTACGCAATTTGTTGTTTCACACAGACGGTCATACAGGCGGTTGCGAACTAATTGACGACGTAGAGTAGCCGGTGGTATTTCAACTATCGCTATCGATTCCTCTAGAGCTGCCCTTCTTAAGCATCGTTTTATAGCTACGCTTACTTCATCGCTTATAAAAGGAAACATAAACGGGACTTTCATTTGGCCAGGTGTTGCGCGTGGGCGCGTCGCTCTCCTTCTAAACATATCTCTTGGGGTTACTATTTCGTAGCCATTGGAGATGGTTATTTGCCGAGCCAAGTCGCGCGATTCTTCCTTTAGTTCCCTGGTAGTGCACACAGAGGTGGCTGTTCGAAGCATGTTTCTCACAATCGCCCTCTTTGTGTGTGAAGGGTGGGAAGAAAGGAAATGGACAAGGATGTTCTTGTTACTTGGCTTTCGGTACCGCTTTGTCAAGTAACCGCTACTTGATAGGTTTACTTGAACGTTCAGAAACGGAGGCCAGTTTTATCTCGGTTTCTCCCGGGTGAACTTTATGTACTCAGACTGCTCGTTCAATAATTCAAAGCATTTGTCCATCTACTCCTGCGTAGAGAAGACGACAAATCAAGTTCACCCAGGAGTAACCAAGAAAAACTGGCTTCCGTTTTTGAACGTTCAAATGAACCTATCAAGCAGAGGTTACTTTACAATGTGGTAGCGAAAGCCAAGTAACAAGAACATCCTCGTTCATTTCCTTTCTTCCAACCCTTCACACACAAAGAGGGCGATTGTGAGAAACATGTTTCGAACAGCCACCTCTGCGTGCACAACCAGGGGACTAAAGGAAGAATCGCGAGACTTGGCTCGGCAAATAACCATCTCCAATGGCTACGAAATAGTAACCCCAAGAGATATGTTTAGAAGGAGAGCGACGCGCCCACGCGCAACACTTGGCCAAATGAAAGTCCCGTTTATGTTTCCTTTTATAAGCGATGAAGTAAGCGTAGCTATAAAACGATGCTTAAGAAGGGCAGCTCTAGAGGAATCGATAGCGATAGTTGAAATACCACCGGCTACTCTACGTCGTCAATTAGTTCGCAACCGCCTGTATGACCGTCTGTGTGAAGCAACAAATTGCGTAATTTGCCCTTACGGCAGGGACGGTGATTGCATGAGTTCAGGTACGATATACCTGATCTCGTGTAACAATTGCGGAGATGAATATATTGGCGAAACGGGCAGACCTTTGTGTATCCGTATAAAAGAACACCTAGATGGCAAACGAAAACTAAGGCGAAGCACCCCACTAGGCACGCATAGGATACAAAAGCATTGCGGAGATGTTTTTGAAGTAAAAGTCAATATCCTTGCACAGAAGTCCAAAACACCAGCGCGAACAGTCATCAACCATGTGCCACTATAATCAGCTGTTCTAACCCTTCTCATTGAAAGTCACGAAAAAAGCGGTGAGTTTCTCGAGATGCTGTTGATCATGTAATTACCAAAGAGTTTTTCGTCTCTTTGTAAGTGTTATTGAAGCATTTGGCCTAGTAGATTGTATATCAGTATACGCTTCCAGGCTCTGAAGAAGGCGATAGTGCCGAAACGTCAGCTAGCGTTGTATTGTATTGTGTTTTTCTATGGAAGTAAATGTATGCTGTTTAAAAACCTCGCGATTGCTGAACAAGAAAACGACACATTCTTAGGATTAGTTTTAACACATGAAACCAGGCAAAGGAAATACGGGTTAGCTATTGGAAATTATTTAGTTGCATAATACTGTCGTATAACACGCAGAGCTCTGCATCTTTTCTATTCATTTTATTGTCTTGCAATCGCAAACCCATAAAGGCAAGCAAGTTCTTGCATGCATTCGGCTGCGATTTTAGGATCTCCAGTCTTTCGGCCTCATCAGTACTTTGATTACTGGTTGAATGTGGTTAACTCTAGAATTCCGAGAACCTTTGCTGAGATGATAAAGAATTTCTCATGCGTTCCCAAGTTTTGGCCAAAGCACGTAGTTGAGGTTTTGGATCGAAAACAGGTTTTTTGCAGAGTAATAAAAAAATTTTCCACAGTGGCAGCGATTATTGTGACGGAAGTGACTCCTACGCTTAGTTAAGAGTTAGATGGCCGATGATATAACTGTCAGAATCTGTTTAAATTTGTTTCAAAAATTTAGCCATGATCGTCAGAAATGTTCAATGCAGAAGCGAGAGCATAATCACCTGAAAGCGCTCATAGAAACTAATTATTTTATGGAAAAAAGCTGCAAAGTTCGCTAGATTTCAACTCACAGGAAATCAAGACTGATTTTGAAACCGTGAGGTAAACTTGTACACCCAAAATTCCTCATTTTGTGAAAACAGCAGGCATTTGGTCCTAGAAACGTAGTCTTCTCCCAAACTTCTGATATTTTCACTGTTAACGAAGGACATGGCAGGAAAATTTCTTTTCAATTATTATTGAGCGAATCAGTTATCGTGAGCATGTGGGGGTCAACGTATTTGTACGACTTTGTAATGGATACCATGGATGACAACTGTCTTCATCTTCTGCGACTTCAGCTACATTAATCTGCAACTAATCGTGTGGGCTATTAATTTCTTTTTAAAAACGCGTACCCGATTGTCGGAAATTGATTAACAAGAACGTTGATTTGAAGTCGTTTGTTGGCGGCCAGAACAGTCCCAGTTGTCTAAAAGAAAGGTTCTAGGAAGCACTTCTTTGATTTTACAATCTCCTGTCTTCCGCTTACTGGTTCTATATCGAGTGTCGTTTCATCATTTCCATAGGACGGCTTGAATCGTGGGACGAATGATCTAACAATGTCATTTGCTTGGTAGAAATGTGGTTTTGAGATTATAATTGGACCTAGAACACGTTTTAGAACAAATTTCATGCAGTTTTCCACTTTTTTACGGGCTTTTTGGACACAGTTCATTTCACGATTGAAATACATGTTTTCACAGTCCTGCATTATCAATGGAAGTATTTGGCTTCCACTAGGTAGCAACTGTGAAAGCAGAGCATATCATCTCTCTCTTCCTATCTCATCTTATAACATCACAGGCATCGGGGATGCGCTTTGGTAGAAAAAGTAGTTTCCTTCCTAATGGGTGTGACATGGCATTAGGAAGGAACCTTTTTCGATGTTGAACAATTTCTTAGAAAATATTCTTTGCTTAGATTTGATCATATGCTTGTGCGTATGCTTAACTTAGTAAGCGGATTGGATAGTAGCCAGCCACGGTTATCAGTTCTCGATCAGAGACCCTTTCCAACAGAAGATATGTTGCCTACATTTTATGTAAGTAGCTTTTATAAAGAAGGTCTGCAATGATATTGTCTAGTTCTACTGCCTTTGTGCTGCTCGACATATTAGTTGGGTTACTAAGTAGGGTTATGTGGTCAGAGTTCTTCAGTAAAAGGAAGTAGAATTTCCGTGCAGCTGATATTCGCAGTTTTTCTATTGTCCTTTTATGGATAATAGCTATGGCTCCTGTCGTTTGTGCATTTGTGACGGTATTTTGATGTTGCCACTGCGCATTAGTTTCCGAAACAAGTGGTAGTATGAAAGCTGCTATATCCATGCTTGCGGAGAACACAGTGCTGCAGCCGAGCTCTTTATTGGGGTCAACCCGTAGGAAGTCAAGCTTTGCTGATCTCGGTAAGCAGAAGATATCAGCCTGTGATTATTGGATCGGGTTTCGCCGAATAGGTAAGTCGTCGCTAATACGTAGTAGAATACGTGGTACGTTATGTTTTGTCCTCTACGTGGATACAGCTATCATCTCCAGTGAACAACAACCTACGAAATGCGAAGAAGCAGGTTGAGGCTCCGTTGATACCTGATTTCGTGGTATTCTATATAATTGACGTGGACTTTGATATGAGTAAAACCAACCAGCGAAGCAATATTTCAATGTAGAGTTGTGTCATCGTAAAACGTTATAGCTTGCTCAGATTGGGGTAGGAAGTCGTAGCTCGTATTTTCGTCCTCAGAGTGATTAGTCAGGACTACTCCATAATTAGTGGAATCCAACCCCAAGGCGTTGGTCTCTTCAGTGGTTATCGCTACATTGGTAAGCAGCAGTCGTCTGAAGAGTGTAGTGCTTCGAATTTATTAGTCGCTTATTTTTTCGGTCTTGTTTTCTTTTTTGTTCTAGTGAGCTTTCGCATCGTATCCCCATCCCCATATCATTTGAAGCATTACAGCCCATACTACGGCAATATAATATTATATGAGATGTTGGAATCCGATTTTGTTTTGTCCATGAAATGTGTTTTAAAGGAAGCTTTTCATAATGACGTTCGTTTTCGCCTTGATTTTTGAGATCGAATTTGACGACTTAATGCTTCTTCTTTTTCCTATTATTTTCTATTTATATTGCTGCTACAATATGTCATTCATTCATTTATGTTGCTATACGTGAGCCTGTAGATCTTCGTTTAGAGCAACAAGTACTGAAATGATACTAAAATAACTAATGAAAAATAACCTGAGTGATCTTTTGCTTTATGTTTTCTTTCTCAGAACTACGACGTAATTTCCATGGTACCCATAAGGCGGAATTAAAGTTTTTACAATGTCATTTTACAATGGAAGCTAAAAAGGACGACATTCAGGGCATCCAGCTTGCTCATGTTGACTGAGCCCGACTATCTGTGTAAGTTACAGGGTAGTTGATTATGTTTAAAATGGCCTCGGATTCAAATCACAGACGGTTAATGCTCTTCTGGCTTGTAGAGGGTTTTCTCCAATGTGCAACTGAGAGCTTTTTGGTAGGTGACGGAAAGTCGAACTTTGGGCTCTGTACATCGCTTTCCGTGATTTCATCTTGCAGCTTAGGGCAAAATAACGCTGTAGTAAAAGGCATTAGTAACTACCAAATTGATGTATTTTTTCAGAAACAACAGTTAAAAGGCTGTAAGATATTTTTTTGGTTGAGTATGACACCTCTCTCCCATGTTTAATATAATTTCCTTATTGTCATCTGTTTTCCTTAGTTGGTAATTTCGAGAATTTATTAATTTCGACGGGGAGCGAATATGAAGGTCACATTTAATGAAAATCTATCCTATCAGACGATGAATATGCAATTGATTAAAGTGAAAGGGGAATTCTAAGTACATTCCCTTGTGCTTTTGCCTGTGCAGCAGTTCGCTTAACAGTTATGGTTGCTCGGTCAGCACATTTTCACTGAGAACAACTCATTAACCGTCTGATTTTCAAAAAACAATAAAGAAAACGAAAACTGGAGGACGCACTTTTCTTGCAGCCACTGATGTCGAGAAGACCCGTTGGTAAGCAAGAGCTATTCACCGGTCGATCATAGGCGCCGTACCTGCTCAACGTGTTCGGATTGCAAAATCCACAATTTTCTGGTTGGGAATAATCAAACTCTTCATGTGGCAAGGAAAATCGATATCCTGAGATTCCCATGACTGATACTTCTTTTTCGAATTTTAATTTAACGGATCTGAAGAAACGAAGTGGACTTTTATGTTAAGTAGTTTTCACCTACGTGAAGAAATCTAGCAAACCTGCATACATCCGAAATAAAAATGGGCAATGAATCGCTTTTCTCAATGAATGCCTTGAAAAAATCGCCATCTAAATTTAGCACAAGAATAAGACACGTTTTAAAAAAGTCGAAAAAAATTATAGTATTGTGAAAAAAACATACTGGTTCCTTCAAGGGTTAAGGCAGTGCTGTTAGTGCTGTTGCACTCGGGTGTTTCGGCTCTCGGCCACCTCAACTGCGTATACTTTTGTGGAAAAGTCATCTTACATTGAAACATTATTGATTTGAAATTTGTAAATAGTATCAATTAGAAGAAGGATTCGCAGCGCTTTAGAGGGCTGTTTCTAAGCGCCGAGCTGTGTATGGGATTCATCCTGTATTAGTATTTCACATGCTAACAAACAGATCGAAAGAATTTTGTCCGAAAACCCAGCCAGGAATAATGGAGAATCACCAGAAAGCTACCTAGTCACGAAGTAGAAACCTCATCAACATCCGCAAAGGTTGACGACAAACTGTGGTGACCAGTTGAAACCCTCTAGTGACGCTACGTCGAGAAATCAGCTAAATCAAAAACAAGGTGTCAACAACATTGAGAGACTCCGCCTACGTCGTCAATCGAGGTGGATGTTCTTTGCTGTGCACTAACAGCATGAGAACAACGTGTGATCAACGCCTTCAGGGTGCAGAAGTTCGATTCATCGTTTATACTAATCGTTTGTGGTCAGAGCACTCTGGAAAAAACGAAGGTATCATTTTTTTTTATAACAACGGCAGTCCGAGGAAGACTTGATAGAATAGTACAAGCTGCTCTCCGCCGACTCAAATGCTGTGTCAAACACGCCTCAGTTCTTCAATCAAGAGGTTTGGATCACATCTTGACCACATAAAGCGATTTGCTTGATAGGACCGGCACCAATGCACTTGACCCGGCTGGTAGTCCCAGTTGCTAGAAGTTCATGCATCACAGTGATGGTGTACGAAAAAACACCTTAAAGAAGGAAGCAGTGGAAAAAAAATGCGGGTTATTCATGACCATTATTTTTAACTGCCAGCGCTGATACTATCCCGACGTTAAATTAACAAGGCAAATGTCCTACTGGTATCGTTTTTGTTTCATAGCCGTTCTGCAGATCACGGATATTCAATTGGAAAAAAGCCCGTCGAATTCCCATCTGGAGGACCGACTTGGGCGCAGGTCTGCGGAAAAAAAGCATTGAATTTCAAGCTTTGCGACACCAAAATTACTTTCTTTCGAGCTGATAGCTACTGAATAGACGCATTTCTCTCAGTAAATATAGTAAAATATCACCCTGTACTAGGAAGTTTGCATGTTGTTAGAAAATCTCTCTATTGTGATTTAAGATTTCGATACCACGGTGTTTTTCTGAGTCACCGGATTTCGACTCTCGGGTTCGCCTTTTCCTTTCGATATTTGGGCTTTCGTAGCCATATCGAGTTGACTTGAATGGAGTGGAATCACACATGAAAGAAGTGATTTTATTTGGCAATTCCGTTTTGGATGGAACAGTTCTTAATTAATTGTTCATTCAAAAATGCTGCTTTCATGGAGACAGTCTGGCTGCAGGAAGCAGCGAATAATTAATGTGGACAGTAAACTCGAATCATTTCGGCTCTGGATAAAGTGATGGCAGTGAAACGCTAATGATAATAAAAACATTTGTACCAAACTCGTGGAAGCTTACTAACACAACGAAGGATTGAATACTCATTCCAAAGTTAGATGGAAGTGAGTTTTCAAATATATAGTGACGTATATTTAAAAGGAAATAGTCGCTGATATGACTAATGCTCGATTCACTTGTTCGTTGTGACCTGCAAGTTTGCCGCCATCGGGCATATCAGAAACATTGAATGGAGCTCAAACCTTGAGCAAGCAAGATTCAGAAAGCCATTCTGTGGCATAAATGAAGCAAAAGCCGTGGTTAGGGTTAGAGAACTTTGGTTGTTTCCCATTCACCTGTTGTTTCAACCTTTCTCGACTACGAAAATAGTCTCAAGTCTTTTATTTACTGCCTTTTTTTTTAATGTCATGGTATATTGCGAAATATAATTCGCATAAAATGCTGAGATATTTGCAAGACTCCGGACCGCAGATGTATGCGGTGGGGAACGAACGAGCGTTATTGTCCATACCGGGGAGCAGCGCACTTCACCACCACACCATCCGGGTCCTTCGTTTTGCCTGTCTCTCAGCTAGTCCCATCGATCTTTTGCCATCAGCAATCAATTATATTTCGCAACATACCCTGCCATTAAAAGGAAAAAAAGGCAGTAAATAAAAGGGTTGAGGTTGTGATTATAACTAAGCCTCAGCTTAACTAGGTTCAATGCCGATTTGGGCTCCCCGGATCAATCCCGTTGACGGATGATTGCTGATGGCGAAAGATCGATGGAACTAACTGAGAGACAGGCAAAACGAAAGACCCGGATGGTGTGGTGGTGAAGTGCGCTACTCCCCGCTAAGGACAATAGCGAGCGTTCGTTCCCCACCGCATACACCTGCGGTCCGGAGTTTTGCAAATACCTCAGCATTATATACGAGTTATGAAAATAGTGTTCAACTGCAGCATGAAAGTATAGTTTTCCCAAGGAGTTCACGAATTCCTTTCCATTTGTATAGAAAAAAAAAGTTGATGTCATCTTTATTCTCAACGGGGTCCACTGGCGTATTTCAGTGGATAACAAGGCTAGTCGTTTCAGATGAAAAAGAAGCACGTCCCAATCAAACGTTTGTTTTGTCGGAAACATAACTGTGCTTCTGAGAAGTATAACTGAAGTGGAAACCATGGCATTAAAGCACAAAAGAACTGCAAAATGGATAGGAATAAGCACAGATCTAGAGGGAATCTAATTCTTAAAAATCCATTCGGTGATAGTAGACAAGTAGAAGTAGATCACAGGAACTGGACTTAGTTGCACCTAAGGTGCTCGGAAAACTTAGAAAACGTTGTAAAGGAGAAACTCTGCCAAGGAAAATCAGCATGAGCTACGTTCAGGTTTCTTAAAGAAGTAACCGATCAGCTGGTATTGCAAAAATTCCACATCGGTTAATATGACTCAACCATCCTCTCCGTAGCTTGCGATACGTTTGAGAAGTTGATTGACCCACGATTAACGTGGAGCTTTCGCGCAGTACTAATGGAGGGCCACAATGGTGTCTTCTGAAAAGTGGCCAAGGCAGATGAGACGAAATTAGACTGAGCAGTTCAGAATGTCGACAAATATTTAGAGGAATGCTCGTAGGGAAGCGAAGCGAAGTGGGAATTTCACGAGGCGGGAAGAGTTAGTAAGAGATAAAGGTAACAATAAGGGCAAAAATGACCTGAAGACGATGTATGAGTCGTTTCCGACCCATCCACAAAGTGGACGGTGGCGTCTATGTCAGTCGGCTGTATTCACGGCCAGAAACGAGTTATGCATCACCAAATAATATTCGAAGACGTCACCGGGTGAAAATTTTGAGAGGAATAACCACTAAGGACGAAAGTTTATGGAAAACGTGCTGTAGTTTATCCGAATGGTGATGACGTCGAAATAAATATCAATGGAAAAACTAGCTTACCACTGAGAAGGTAACTTGTTGCCTTGGCTCGGAAGTGATGCATTGCTGATGTTAGTAAAGGAAAGGATGAATCCAGTTCGCAAGTAGTCGACTCTTCCCGTCTCGACTGTGAAGAGTACATCTGTTGTTGCGTTTTCGGTCTGAGAGGGTAGCATCAGGGTGAATTTTAAGGAAAAGGAAATATATGAATTGTGTGACTGATTCATTTTCTTGTTTTTTTAAAATGATTAATCACTTTTTGTGCTTTTATTTTATTGTTGCTATTACTTAAAAGCATTGTTCTATCAACTATGATGAATAATCTAGAGAACTGGAAGGGTATACAAGGCTCTGTCTTGTGAGGTTGTTGTCATCTCATGCTTCCTTCATCACTTTATTCTTTATGTCTCACCTCTATGGCGCTTTCTCATCCACCTCTATCTCTGCGCCGCAGACTTTCCTACTTAACGAAGTCGTTTGTTGCCGTTTTCCTTGCACTCATCGTCCAAAATGGTCTTCGTATAGTTCGCGTGTTGTTTCGGATGTCACATGAAGATTTCGCTTTTTTATGAATATCGTATAACGCGATTCGAGTCGATTCTGCTTGTAATCTTGGAGATAGCCTGACTAAGGCGCTCCCACGTGGATTGGAGAAGAGCG